AGGTGCAATTTTTGCTGCTGACATTAAAACTAACCTTGACTATGAGTTTCAAGGTCACGTTTAGACATCGACTTAGGTTAAAATTTTCTTGATTTTGCTTTGTACATCGAGGTCGTGATCAAAGTCAGTTTCAAGACAATCTATGAGTAGCCAGCAATAAATTTACTGCTCCATTCATTGGCCTAGTTTGGGCCTTTGTGTCTTAAGAAATAGCTCTACTTGGTACCATTGTTAAGCATATTTCAATCGGATAATTTCTGCTTGTAGAAAACTCTGGATATATACGCAATGTGGTTCTGTCTCTATCTGTTAAATCATCGAGGACTTTTATTTTGGAGAAAAAACGTCAATCATTCTAAATAATGTAATGACGTGGAAATCATATGACTCGGGAATTTGGAGTATACTTTAGTACAATACGTTAAATAGGCTAGAGCATGTAGGTACGTTGAAAGATATATTTGAAGTTTGAATATTGAATTCGAAACGTCTTTTATCAAATACCAATATAGAATTTACATTTTTTATACTGGATGTGGTACGTCTCTCAGAAATATTTTAGAAATAGAACCTCACCTGTCGTTTTTCCAACATGCTCTGGTCTGAAAATCCAAGTTGTATGTCTTCTAGCACCATTCGAAGAAAAGTATATAGAAACTCTAAATCCTATAAATCACTCTTTGTTAGGGTCTGTCTTAGGAAAAAGATAGCTAAGTGTAAGAGATGTCCGCTTCTTCTGTAGATGAAACGTAGGGAATTGTATAAAGGAAACTATCTCAGCAAATTCTCTAACTTGTGTGATTTTTATATAAAGAAATCTCTATCGAAAGACTTTTATTAAATAATTTGTGTATTTCTAAAGAAAAAACTATAATATAAAGGGATCTATGTTAGGGCTAGATTGACTATCGAATGAAAATAAACTAAAATGAGCTTTTATCTTGAAAAACCATTTTGTGTAGGTAGCCTTATTTTGGAACATATACTTTCCTTCAAAATTGCTGGTTCCTAGTTCTACTGTGGGCTTTTTAAGACTCTATCGATGCAAGATTTTTTGAAAATGAAATAAAATTATTTTTGCAAAATCAAGACTCCAAAACAAGGCTACATCGCCATCATTCTGGAAATGTGTCAACTACGAGGACCATTTTCAAAGTAAGAACCGATTGCGCATCGTGTCCGCGCATCCCGTCACGTGACACTCAGACACTCTTGGCCAATATCAGACATTTATCTTTCCCAACACTTAAGGAATATCTTGGTGGCAAGCGCTTGGAAAATGAGATGTGGAAGGAAACAGCTAGTAACTTGCTCAACGGTCAGGCGACAACCGAAAGCTGAAAGATGTTTATGGCGACTGTGTTAAAAAAGATTTTTGTCTGGTTCTTACTTAAAAAGTGTCCCTCGTGTATTCGATGAGGGTACAGTCGCGAACGGTTTCTAGTTCAAAGAGTAATGATTGTTTCTTTTGCAACTGTTTGTGGGTCTCAGAAAGGCTTGATATACATATGTATATAAACAAAAAAAAAACACAAATTAAAATAAAATTATAATGGCAATACCTTCAAGCACAAGCACATCATATACTGTCATATCATTTAAAACTAGACTATAGCAACCTTAAAGTAGGAGAAAAACTAGCGATTAAAACATAATGTGTGAGTTGACACCTTTGACAGCCCTCCTCTTTTTGATATTTGCAATAACACTTAGGTACTAACTGGTCCAGTGTAAAATTTCACCCTGTCATTGTAACTATGTATATGAAATCCTAATTTGTACAGGTAGATTGATTTATGTGTTATTAAAATTGCTTTTGACTTACTCAGTTGTTTTATTTTCGAAAATCTCTGCAATGTTGACCAAATGCTAAGACTGGCCCTTTATCCTGTCAAATAAGTGTTCGCTATTTCTAGGTTTTTTGTTGGGTTTGATTTTTTAGATCGTATATTCGCATCAGCTCGGACAAAAGTATTCTGATTTGTTTTTGTCATTGCCCCCATTAACGAATCTACATGTTATCATGCCCAAAATTGCGTTAAAAGTTGTTTAAAAACTATCAAAGTTGTTTTTTCTTCGACCATGAGAAACAATATGAAGACCTGGAATTTTATATAAAATATATTTCATACATCTAATAATAAAATACTAAAAATATTTCGGGGTTTGTTTTACAATTAACCTTTAAAAAATTCTGAGAAATTCCAAAGATTTTTGTAAAATTCTGGAAATTTCTGAAAAATTCTGCATAATTCTCAAAAATTCTGAAATATTCTGAAAAATTTGGAAAAATTCTGAAAAACTCTGAAGAATTCTAAAAAGTTCTTAAAAATCATTAAAAATTCTTTAAAATCCTTGAAAATTCTGAAAACCTGAAAAATTTTGAAAAATTCTGAAGAATCCTGAAAAATTCTTAAAAATTCGTAAAAATTCTTGAAAATTCTGAAGAATTCTTAAAAATCCTGGAAATTTCTGAATAATTCTGGAAAATCGCTGGATATTCTGAAAATTTCTGAAGAATTCTGGAGAATTCTAGAAAATTATGAAGATTTCTGAATATCCAAAAAAATTCTGAAAAGATCTGGAGAATTCTTAAATATTCTGGAAATTTCTGGAAAATTCTGGATAGTTCCGTAAAATTCTGATAAATTCTAAAGATTTTTGAAAAATTCTGGAAAATTCTGAAGAATTCTGAAAAATCCTGAAAAATCCTGAACAATTCAGGAAAGTTCTGAATAATTCTCAAAAATTCTGAAATCTGAAAAATTGTCAAAAATTTTTCGAAAATCTCTGCAATTTTGACCAAATGCTAAGACTGGCCCTTTGTCCTGCGTCAAATAAGTGTTCGCTATTTGTAGGTTTTTTGTTGGGTTTGATTTTTTAGATCGTATATTCGCATCAGCTCTGACAAAAGTATTCTGATTTGTTTTTGTCATTGCCTTATTCATAAAGGATCCCCATTAACATGTTATCATGCCCAAAATTGCGTTAAAAGGTGTTTAAAAACTATCAAAGTTGTTTTTTCTTCGACCACGAGAAACAATATGAAGACCTGATATTTTATATAAAATATATTTCATACATCTAATAACAAAATACTAAAAAAAATTCGGGGTTTCTTTTACTATTAACCTTTAAAAAATTCTGAGAAATTCCAAAGATTTTTGTAAAATTCTGGAAATTTCTGAAAAATTTTGGAAAGTTCCGAAAAATTCTGAAAAATTCTAAAGATTTTTGAAAAATTCTGGAAAATTCTGAAGAATTCTGAAAAATTCTGGAAAGTTCTGAATAATTCTCAAAAATTCTGAAATCTGAAAAATTGTCAAAAATTTTTCGAAAATTTCTGCAATTTCGACCAAATGCTAAGACTGGCCCTTTTTCCTGCGTCAAATAAGTGTTCGCTATTTGTAGGTTTTTGTTGGGTTTGATTTTTTAGATCGTATATTCGCATCAGCTCGGACAAAAGTATTCTGATTTGTTTTTGTCATTGCCTTATTCATAAAGGGTCCACATTAACGAATCTACATGTTATCATGCCCAAAATTGCTTTAAAAGGTATTTAAAAACTATCAAAGTTGTTTTTTCTGAAAAATTTGGAAAAATTCTGAAAAACTCTGAAGAATTCTAAAAAGTTCTTAAAAATCCTTAAAAATTCTTTAAAATCCTTGAAAATTCTGAAAACCTGAAAAATTTTGAAAAATTCTGAAGAATCCTGAAAAATTCTGGAAAATTCTTAAAAATTCGTAAAAAATCTTGAAAATTCTGAAGAATTCTGAAAAAATCTCAAGAATTCTTAAAAATCCTGGAAATTTCTGAATAATTCTGGAAAATCCCTGAAAATTCTGAAAAATTCTGAAGAATTCTGGAAAATTCTAGAAAATTATGAAGATTTCTGAAAAATCAAAATAATTCTGAAAAGATCTGGAGAATTCTTAAATATTCTGGAAATTAATGAATAATTCTGAAAAATTCTGGAAAGTTCCGAAAAATTCTGAAAAATCTAAAGATTTTTGAAAAATTCTGGAAAATTCTGAGGAATTCTGAAAAATCCTGAAAAATTCTGTAAAAGTTCTGAATAATTCTCAAAAATTCTGAAATCTGAAAAATTGTCAAAAATTTTGAAAAATTCTGAAGAATTCTGAAAAGTCCTGACAAATTCTGAAAAATTCTAAAAAGCTCTTAAAAATCCTTAAAAATGCTTTAAAATTTTGGAAAATTCTGAGGAATTCTGAAGAATCCTAAAAAAATTCTGGATAGTTCTGAATAATTTTCAAAAATTCTGAAAAATTCTGAAAGTTTTTGAAAAATTCTGAAGAATTCTGAAAAGTCCTAAAAAAATTTGGAAAAATCTGAAAAACTCTGAAGAATTCTAAAACGTTCTTAAAATTGCTTAAAAATTCTTTACAATCCTTGAAAATTCTGAAAGATTCCGAAAATTTTTTGGAAAATCCTGAATAATTCTGAAAATTTCTTGGAAGTTCTGAAAAATTCTGAAAATCTGAAACATTTTGAAGAATTCTGAAAAATTCTGGAAAATTCTAAAAGAATCGTAAAAATTCTTGAAAATTCTGAAAATTTCTGAATAATTCTGAAAAATCCTCGTAAATTCTGAAAAGATCTGATGAATTCTTAAAAATCCAGGGAAATTCTGAAAAATTCTGTTTGACAATAAGTCACACATATATTCCCTACATCTGCGATGAAAACAAAAGTATGATAGAATTGCTTTATATAGTTTGGTATGCAAATGTCGAAAAATTTATCATACCTAAGTAAATTTACCTAATCACGATGTATTTTGGGAGGGGTCAGAAATGTGAGCTTCGCCTTGAGAAACATTAAGGTCCAAGACATACTATTGAATGAAATTTTAGAAAATTCTTCTATGATAAAATGTCTCACTTACCGCACTACCCTAACACCGACTTTTGGGTTGCCATAGTGCGGTGTTTTGTCGATTTTACATGATGGATAGACATAAGCAGCGTTGCTAGGCTGCCAAACTGCCCACACAGACGTTAGTATTTATCAGGTTATAACAAAATTTGACAGACTATGCAATTGCCAAAAATGAGAAGAGTTCAAGAGAAAAATCCACCAAAGCCTGGTGCACAGACAAAAAAGAAGAAAACCATTTTCACTAAAATATCACACATCTATCTGCAAGACAAGAAACTGACAAAAATTGTAGGTACGTCCACTGTAACTTTTTGTACCGTAATATATCTATAATTTCAGCCAAAACATCCACCATCAAGGGATCTACAAGTTTTGTACCTCTACAACAACAAAATAACAACTATAGAAAACTTATACTTCCCAAACCTCACTTGCCTGTACCTACAAAACAATGCTATAACCAAAATCGAAAACCTTGAGCATTTAGTTTCGCTGAAGAAGCTCTTCATCGGTCACAACAAAATAAGTGTCCTTGAAGGTATGAACAACTTAGAACATTTAGAAGAACTGCATATTGAAAAGCAAGATATTCCCGAGGGCAGTAATTTTTGTGTTGATCCTAGGACTATACTCGCATTATCAGTAAGTTTTGCAATCTCATCTCCTTCCACTGCGCCACTGCTACTGTGCTTTTCAAGAAGTACGCATTTTCTGAAAGGTCAAGAAAGTAAGTTGAATTACTAAAGGTATGTGAATATTTTAAGGGTAAAAATAACGGTAGAAAATTTAAAAATGACGGTTGAGAGCTATCTTCGAACATTGTTTCTAATGAAATCATACCTCATTTTGAAGCTTCCCATGAGTATACGAGGTATATTAATTTTTATATTAAATTTGCATTAACATATTTCAAAACTTCTATTTTAAACTTTCGTCAATAATTTCCTTGGTATTTGAGCACTTGATTATCATAGAATATTTGAAAAAAGCGCTTGTTTATAAAAAATGATGAACTGTTTTGTCCAGGCTTCCCTACTAATATTGGATATCTCTCACAACAAGCTTTGTTCTTTGGATTATCTAATACCGCTAAGAAACTTGGTGATGATCAATGTATCTCACAATGATCTCGACGATATAAAGGATGTCTGTCAAGCAGTGAGAGACTGGATGTACTTGAGAGAGGCTAATTTTACAGGCAACCCAATATGCAAAAAGCATCGATACAAGGATGAAATAATTTCAAACTCATACTACTTACGTAAGCATACATTCATGAAACCTGCATATCTTTTAACATTTTGAATCATCCTGAATTATTAGGCTTTGAAAAAAACCATTTTTCAGATACTTTGGATGGCAAACACATATCGGACGTCACCAGAAAGTTCATTAAAGGATTTGAAAGGGAAAAATTGGTTCGTGCTTCTAAGCAAAGCATTAACATAAATGAGGTTGCAGAAGGTAATACATAGTTGGTTTGTTTGTTAGGCATCTAAAATATATCATTAGACTCGACCACTTCGGGCACCAATCATGTAATATGTCTAAACATCTCACTTATAAAAGAACCTTAACGATTGGTGCACTTTGAGGAATGATACTTGAAATTTTAAACAAACAACTCTTCCTAGAGGAACGCTCAACAGAGTATCTAACATTTACGTTTCACAGTCAGCAGTAAAACTTGTCGTTACAAGCATTTTTTGTTGGTGTAACTCCTAGCAATTTGATGATAAATTTTGGACAGTTTGTTGTTTGTCGTTTCGTGAGGAATGTAAAATATTAAAGGGAGTTTCACATTTTTCGATTACATAGCCAATAACGTCGCAGCTACGTGAGTATAGGCAACCAGAATTGCATTACAAAGGATGACTGACGATTTGAGCGTATTTATACAGCTTAAAAACTATACTACTCATTCCAGGCAACCAGCAACTCCTCTCGAAGTGCTTCTACAGTCTGAGGAGGACGTTGCAAATTGAGCAATCTCCTACCCATCATATCCCACACGTGCTCAATTGGAGATAAGTCGGGAGATCTTGGTGGCCATGGTAACAATGTGACATCATTATGTTGAAAGAAGTCTATTGTGACTCTTGCAACATGTGGTCGGGCATTATCTTGTTGGAAAGTTGGATCTGCCAGGGTGTCAAGATAGGGTAAAAGATGGGGTTCTAGAACTTCGTGGATATAACGCTGCGCGTTCATGTTACCTCTGATGAAGATTAAAGGTGACCTGGAACCATAAGCTATAGCACCCCAAACCATAACTCCAACAGTGTGATGAACATGGCTTTCAACAAAAAACTGTGGATTCCTCCTTTCACCACGTCGCTTTCTAACCCTGGCACGACCATCGTGCATGCCTAAACATAATCGAGACTCGTCACTAAAGACAATACTGTTCCATTCCTGATCCCAGAGTGACCGTTGCCAATAGGACTTCCGTGTTCTGCAAACCATTCATTTGCAATGGACCTGGTAGTGGAGAAACGGTCCCTTAAGGCCAATAAACTTAGGCGGCGATCTTCACGGTCTGTTGTTCTACGGCGGCGTCCAGTGCTCCTTGCTCTTTGCGTACGGCCTTCTCGAAGCCATGCCTGACAACACCTAACCACAGTGTCTACACTTCTTTGCACTCTAACTGCAATTGCCCGAAAAGGAAGTCCAGCTTCCCGAAGTCCCACTATACGGCTCCTATCAAACTCACTAAGTTGACGAAATCGTACAGGTCTCCGTACTCTAGGCATCGTAACCGATCGTAAAGGATGTCAAGAACCAAAATCCGCCAACGTTGATTCTTTACTGCGGCTGAAATATTCATTTTTAGAGCGTTAGTGAATTAAAAAAAAGCAGTATAAAAACCGGAATGTCCAACTGATAAGGCTGAAATTTTTTTCACTTGTTATTTACAGTAAGATAAATACATTCACCAACTTTTATTAAAATAAAACCATTTAAACTGAGTGTTCGGATTTATATGTCACTTAGAATATTTCACTCACAATCTGCAAACTCATCGAAGATTTCTTATAAAAAATACAGTAAAGGACAATCAAATTTTTTAAAAATGCTTTACCAAAAACGACTTTAAGCAGATTTGATAGAAATTATATATACTTTTGTTTAATGTTTGCCATATTTTTTTTTCCTTTTCTTCCCGTTATTCTCCGTATAGATCTTTGTAATCTCATCTCAAACACGGCTTTTAAAATACATCTTGGAGATGCAGAAGGTAATACAATAGTTGGTTAGTTTGTTACATGAGAGTTGAGGAGCTTAAAATTGATCGATGAATATTCTTTCTGCTGGTGTAAAAACCCATCATAAAATAATGCCAAGGCACCTAAAATATCACATTAGACTCGACCTCTTCGGGCAGTAATCTTCGTAACTCCTAGCAATTTGATGATACATTTTGTACAGTTTGTTTATTATGCTGGATTTTCGTGAGGAACGAAAAATAGTAACCGAAATCTTAAGCTTTTCCAATTTCATAGCTAATAACAAACACACAAGGCAGAGCTACATGAATATAGGCAACCAGAAATGCAGAAATGCATTGCAAAATCCGTTTGAGGATTTTTGTTCCTCTTAAAAACTTTTTCACTCACAATCTGCAAGCGAAGGTTTCTAATAATAAGTACAGTAGGACAGTAAGACAAAAAAAAATTCAAAAAGCGTTACTAAAGACGACTGTAAGAAGATTTGCCACGCTGTGACACACCCGCTAGTTTTTTTTAATGCTTCCCATATTTTTTTTCATTTTCTCTTCTTCCCGTTATTCTCTGTATACAGTATATTCAGATAAGAGATAGACCGGACATAAACAAGACCACGTGATCATCGAACGCTGTAACATTCGGCAGGGACGTATTAAGAGTCACGCAGTACATATTTTAGATAGTAGATGCTGCTTTGCGTAACTTTGTAGTAAATTAGCACAATTCGATGTGTATACGATTGGTGATGGATATAGGATCATGTGGGGGTGGGGTAAGAAATATATAATGATGTAAATATACGTAGGGGTTTCAAAATGTTCGCTTCGATTTCCAGCTTCGGATGCCGTCTGATGTTTGGTTAAAAAAGTTCTAACAAATGAAAATGACAATAAAACATCCACGCATTTTATCGAAAGTTATACAAGTTTTGTTATTTGTAATATGTTTTATCTGCCCCCTGGAATTAATGTTTAGAACCTTGTTCCCAAGGTTTGAAAAACATCCGATTGTTGTCTATTACTCGTATTTACCTGCTGGATTTTTTAATCCGGTGGACAGTCCATCTAGAAAGGCCCTCCTGGATGAAGTTACAGAATCATCAACCCATACTTTACTTGTAGTGTGTCCTGCGTTTACCCATGTTTCATCAAGGTAATAAATCTTCCTGTTTTGATTTCTATATTTCCCAATTTTTGTTAAATAATCCCTCCTCCATAGCACAATTTCTTCTCTATCCAGTAGTAAACTATTACGACCCCGTTTTTTCCATTTGAAATTTAAATGCTTCAGTAATGCATGGAAAGTTGATCGTTTGAAATTTGGCAACGTTGTATCTCCATTTACCTCCTGCAGTACTTTATCTATAGTAGGTATTTCATTCCTAAAGAAGAATTCGTGCACTTTCCTCCTAATCGCATGCTTATCAGCTTCATCCAATGATTTAACAATACTTTTGCGATGTTTACTGGTCATTGGCTCAGAAAAGGTGTAATTTTTTTTGTATTGTCTTAACACATTAAACACTGATGCGCGACACACCCCAACTTTGTGAGAAACCTTCACAACAATTTCTTTGATGGTTGATGCCTCGTTCTACTCGCGCTCGATCTTATATATATTCAAAATGACCTCTTTCATTTCTGCACTCAGGTGTCTTTTTTTAGAGCGTTTCCTAGGTGGACTACAGGAGTTTACAACTTCATCGGCAGTATGTGTACTACTGGGCATTTTGCGCAAGCTGTTGATAACAATAACAATCAATAACAAGGTATAACAATAACAACGACAAACTCAACAACTTAATAAGAAAACAAACGAAAACGTCCAAAGAAATATCAAATTGCAATGATGCACACGACATACGTAACACGTCTCAACCTGAATGTGACTCTGCCTTGATACGACTGCTCTGCCGCTCGGCATAGGCATTTAATTGCGAATTGACCAATGAGGGCTCCTGTTTTACGTCGAGACGGCGGCGTTAGCGTGAAAATCACCCGAACCTTTTGTTTACATCCGGTCTATCTCTTATCTGAATATACTGTAGAACTTTGTAATCTCATTCCAAACACGGCTTTTTTAAATAGATCTGTTATTTATTTTGTACTATTTTTTCAACTTGTCTAGTATCTTCTTCAGCATGTTTTCTTAAACTTACTGTTACTGTTAAAAACTATCGATTTATTTACAGATTAATCTAAATACGCTCAAATTATCGCACTCACTTTACAAGGCAATGCAATGCTGGTTGCATTCAGCTCCGCTCTCTGAGTTTGTTATTTCCTATAAAATCGAAAATGATACAATTTCCATTACTGTTTCAAATTACTTCCTAAAATATAGCATCAAAAAATCAAACCGTTCAAAATTCTAAACAGACACGGTCAGCAAAGAAAACTCCAAGGAGAAACACATTCCTCAAACACCACTCAGTCCTCCCTATTATAAATATGACCATTAAATTCATTTAAAAGTATGTTGTAGGATTTCCAAGCAACTACCCAAGTTCGCTGAAGAAGGCAGCATCTATCTCTTTATTGAGGCAATCTAGGAATCTTCTACCTGATGACCTGTCCACGTTTGATGAGCGGGATGCCGTTCATATAGCTTGGAAGACAAGTAGGCTTATCAACTGTCCAGCAAAGACGATTTAATAACTGTTATGCATTTTCAGTGCCACAGAGGAAGCCAATTTTGAAAAACTCGCAGCCAAGGGTAACCCCAGGATCACTCAAAAAGACAGTCACTGTCAACAATTTTTTGCAGATACACAGATAATGTATTTTTCCTAAAATAAATTATACATAAACGATATGGGTTGATTTTCTGAGCATCTATCCTTCTGCATCTAAGCATAAAAGCATCTCAAGTTTGAACTCAATTTATTGCTGAGAAAGCCAGTATCTAAACATTGTTACCCACTACGATCAAATAAACGTTTATAGAAGTATTGGAACGTCTGTCTTGTTCACGCTTTAAAACTTTTAGTAGTTAGTATTTTAAGATGTTTGATCAATGCTATATGCTTATATTATACCACCCCCGATTTACAAATCTCATGACTAACCATGCACAAGTTTGATCAATAGTAACATCATGAGTACCAAGAACTCTGCGTCATCTGATGAACTGAGTAATTTCAGGTGAATATAATCATATTTCTTATTTTTGAATGAGATTTTTCACCATGGAGCATGTGCCTTGATGGTAACTGAAATACGTCACAATCTGATTTTCCTTAATGGACATGCCGTATAATATAGTTGGGCCAATATCACGAGGTCTGTAAATTAAGTGATGAGACCAGTTTTTTTTTATTCAAATATGATTACAATTTTATATTGTTACCCTCAAAATGACTTCCTTCTGAAGCCATACAGCGCTGGAGATGGTTCTTCCAAAGTAGATATACTAGAAGAATTCTGTCTCACTAGTTTTTAAATCCGCCGCTAGAGGCGCTGCATAAAACCTAACGAAATCGAAGTAGTCTCACCGGAAGTGATCCAGATAGCCGACGGACGGCTGCCGATCGCCTTATCAGTGTCGTTGTGTTCGCCTGCGGTTATGATGATAATAAGGGGTAGTATACAGGGGGAGTCAAGAATGTTTTATACAGGGTGAGTCAAAAGGTTGGCAGATAGCTGGAGCGTAAATAAGATTGTGCGTGCGCGTGCGCGTGCTACACATATGGGAAAATCAATATGAGAGAGAGAGAGAGAGAGTGCGGTGGACGATGTATTGGAGAGAGATAGAGTCATAATAGTGCTTGAACTCCGATACTGGAATAGCCTTCAGCTGGTCGGGAAGAGAAAAAGTCACAAAGACTCAAATCAGGCGACTAAGGAGGCTGATGGGCCACAGCAACGTTTTTACTACTCAAAAACTCGTTGAATATGTAAATCATATCTTTTGAACAACAGTATACCATGAAACATCTTGTTTAGTTGACTTTCCTGATTTTTACAGTTTTGATACTATCGAAGAAAATGAAAACAACGTTGCATGGTTCTCTTTAATTCAGAATTTACCTTACGAGAAACTAGAGACTCTGAAAGATCGCTTTAAAGAAAAAAATGTTGATGGAGTTGAACTTGGACTCAGCAAAGACGAATTCTTGGACACTATTTGTAAAATATATGGTAAGTAAAATATACTAAGTGACATATAAATCCGAACACCCAGTTTAAATGGTTTTATTTTAATAAAAAGTTGATGAATGTATTTATCTTACTGTAAATAACAAGTGACAAAATTTTCAGCCTTATCAGTTGGACATTCCGGTTTTTATACTGCTTTTTTTTTAATTCACTAACGCTCTAAAAATGAATATTTCAGCCGCAGTAAAGAATCAACGTTGGCGGATTTTGGTTCTTGACATCCTTTACGATCGGTTACGATGCCTAGAGTACGGAGACCCGTACGATTTCGTCAACTTAGTGAGTTTGATAGGGGCCGTATAGTGGGACTTCGGGAAGCTGGACTTTCTTTTCGGGCAATTGCAGTTAGATTGCAAAGCAGTGTAGACACTGTGGTTAGGTGTTGTCAGGCATGGCTTCGAGAAGGCCGTACGCAAAGAGCAAGGGGCACTGGACGCCGCCGTAGAACAACAGACCGTGAAGATCGCCGCCTAAGATTATTGGCCTTAAGGGACCGTTTCTCCACTACCAGGTCCATTGCAAATGAATGGTTTGCAGAACACGGAAGACCTATTGGCATGCGAAGTGTTTACCGACGAATGAGAAGTTTTGGCTTGTTTTCATACCGGCCACACTGGGTCCTCCCTTTAACTCGAGAACACCGACGTAATCGCCTTGAGTGGTGCAGACAACGGTCACTCTGGGATCAGGAATGGAACAGTATTGTCTTTAGTGACGAGTCTCGATTTTGTTTAGGCATGCACGATGGTCGTGCCAGGGTTAGAAGGTGACGTGGTGAAAGGAGGAATCCACAGTTTTTTGTTGAAAGACATGTTCATCACACTGTTGGAGTTATGGTTTGGGGTGCTATAGCTTATGGTTCCAGGTCACCTTTAATCTTCACCAGAGGTAACATGAACGCGCAGCGTTATATCCACGAAGTTCTAGAACCCCATCTTTTACCCTATCTTGACACCCTGGCAGATCCAACTTTCCAACAAGATAATGCCCGACCACATGTTGCAAGAGTCACAATAGACTTCTTTCAACATAATGATGTCACATTGTTACCATGGCCACCAAGATCTCCCAACTTATCCCCAATTGAGCACGTGTGGGATATGATGGGTAGGAGATTGCTCAATTTGCAACGTCCTCCTCAGACTCTAGAAGCACTTCGAGAGGAGTTGGTGGTTGCCTGGAATGAGATACCACAGGAGGACATTGACCACCTGATCAGAAGCATGCCTAGGCGCGATGGAGAATGCGTACCACATCAGGGTGCATCCACACATTATTAAAGGTCAAAGGGCTTTAAAGCAGTGCAATCATTTTGAAATTTTTATCATTTACTTACTATGCTTCATTAAGTACTTATAAAAATTTTATTAAAATAAAACCATTTAAACTGGGTGTTCGGATTTATATGTCACTTAGTATAAAATACTAAATTATAATTTAGGAGACAGTAGTATCCTCGGTGATAAAAGTGTCAGTAGGGAAGCAAATAAAGTGAATATTTTCTTTATCTATGGCTGGCTGAATTGTTGTTTTGTCTTGTGTCGTTTTCAAGAACATACACGTACGAGAACACAATTTTGATTTTTTTTTGTAGAAATTCGCATTAATACTAAAATCATTCTGATAGGTAACGCAAAATATGGAGTGCAGTGTAACATCCTTTTTGATGATATCGCACAGAATGCAAAAGAGAAAATCACTTGGAATGATTTTCTGGACTTTTTAATAGAAAATCTGAACCCCAAGGATGATCTTCCTGTGAAACTAAACGTTGCCGATATCACGGAAGCGTCACATGCCAAGGTAAACCCGTTGACAGTATCTCCAGAATTGGTGATCATAGTTATTCACATAGCTATAGGATTTCTGAATTACAGCATAACTATCTTCTGTTAAGGAAATTTCAATTTCACTAAAATTTATCACCATGGCCAGAAACATGCCAAAAAGTAATATGCGAGAACCTAGTTATATCCATAACAAAGGTATTGGTCATTCAATTAGGTGTATAATCGTGATGTATATGTATGTACAAGCCAGCAAGTAAAAGACGATTCTGGTTTCTAATCGCATTCCCAACTATAACAACCAATGAAGTTGGCTTCTGTCTGCCGAAAAGTATGACCACTTTCATCTACTCAGGAGGTGATTCAGTCCATTATCTTCCATTCATACGGTAACCCTCGTGCATATACCTGTTTTTGCAGAAAGAAACCATAGTGAAAGTCGTGCTTATAGAATCCCACAAATACTTCTGCTATGCCATTGTCTCGAAATACGGACGGGTGGGTCTTTATGATGGCAACATGAACTTCCTCACTTCCTACCATACCATAATGACTCGAGAAGATCTGGATCGAGATGATAGTGAACGTAGAAGAAGAAACAGATGGATCACAGATGCTGTCTATTGCGCTGATGTTCAGATGTTCCTTGTTGTCAATAGTACACGAAGTCTCATAGTATATGAAGCTTCGGGACTGAATCATGTGCCTTGTTGGCTCATCATAGGAATGCCAAATGTTATAAATGTAAGTAGATGAGTGATGATGAAGAACACTAAAGTCTGAGCTATCTTTGTAGTACATATAGTAGATATATAAAATTGATATTTGTCTCAACATTTAGACAATGTTAATGTAACATCTGAAACTTATCTTGAAGTTTTCATTTGTCCAGCATGCTTTTCTGACCAGCAAATATTTGCTTTCTGTTTTGGAAAAGGCCAACGAGGTAACCAAAACATTCGTCCATAGTCAATCCAGCTTATGTGGTTTCATTTGGTAGACAGAAGAGCGTTGAGATTTATTCGGTACTTTTGTTTCCAGACTTTGCATTACAAGAGTTCTACAGAACCTAATTCAGACAGAAAGGACTCTAGTAAAAACGTGTTATTTCTGGGAGATTGTTACGGAGCAATCATGCATTTTACTTTTCTGCAGTCGCATGTACTGTTCAGAAAGAAGTATACTGACAAAATGAGCATATACTATTGGCCTGTGAGTATTGCAAGTGATAGTTTATTATATCGACAACACGTCGATTTCGTTTGCAGGAAGTAGAGGAACAAAATCAGTACCTTCAAATCGGCAGATTTGATTGCCGACATTACGACGAGATCAAACAAATCGTATACTTTAACAAACACAGTGCCTTGATAAGTTGTAGCAGTGATCCAAGTGCTTCACTGATAATACAATATACGTCAACCAACAGAAAACCCTATGTTTTTAAAATGAGAAAGGTGAGTCTGATATCTAGAGCAATAACGTATGTCGTAACGGTTTTAGCACAAAATATTTATCGGATTTTTTTAACGAATAAATGTATTTAAGCACTAGTTAGTTATCATTAATAACAACTCAAAATAAATAAATGTCAACTGACAGTAAAGTAAGAAAACAAACTTTTGTTTCCAAAGGCAATATTATTTTGTGTTTGTTAAAATTAGAGCCAATGAATTTTGTGCTAAAAGTTTTAAGCATCCCACAAACCGGCGCGAAATATTCGCTTTGGCTGCGAAAATTTCGCGGCGATGAATTCGCGATCAGATTAAAACGCGGCGGTTTACGGACAGGCTCAGACTTGTACGCAGCGAATGCGATTGTTCCAGCGTTTTTATCGCGGCGTATTTCAGTTCGCCTTTGACCGCGTTTTTGACGCCGATCTTCAAAAATTCGCAATGGCAAAAACGGAATTATTGATAGAAATGGTGAAAAAGTATCCTCGTTTGTATGATTTGTCGAACGATGAATACAGGAATGTGAGAAAGAAAGACAAGATTTGGATGGAAATAGGAAAAGAATTAAATACAAATGGTATGTACCTAATATTTTTTATTAACTTGTTAAATAATTTACAGTCTACACAAATGTGAAAACGAACATTCTATATATTGGGCATAGGCATATCAGAATTAAAATAATTTACGAATTTGTCACGAGTAGAAAATGCTAGCCTTGCTGCCCGCCGAGGATCATTTGCTATATCGGTAAAAGCTCCAAGCACGGGTTCTGGGGGATCTAAGAATTGAAAATATTTGTCAGCGCCACTTTTACTTCGTAAAAAATTGTGTAAAACACATGCCGTACGTACAATTAGAATAGTAGTATCTACTTTAGTTTCTAATGGCCTGTAAAATATTCGCCATTTTTGAGACAAAATACCAAACGCATTTTCCACGACCCTTCTAGCTCGACAAAGTCTTACATTGTATTTCTCTTTTCTGACGTCTGTTAAAGTCTGCTTATAAGGAAATGGTCTCATAAGGTATGGTTTTAAAGCAAATCCTTCATCACCAATTAAGACGTACGAGCAGATTTCATTTTGCCCAGGGAGAAATCTAGCTGCAGGGACACTCATTAAATTTTGTTCAAATCGTTTTCCCATGTTTGAGGTTTCGAAAATACCCCCATCACTATTTTTTCCGAAACCACCAATATCAACACATATAAATTTATAGTCCGGGCCAACAATGGCCATAAGTACTATTGAATATTTACGTAAATAGCACCAGTAATTGGAGCCACTGTTGTTAGGTCTCTTGATTGTTACATGTTTACCGTCCACGCTGCCAATGCAATTGGGAAATCCCCATCTATTTTCAAATTCTTCAGCACATTTTTTCCATATATTCTCTGTTGGTTCTGGTAAATATATATGCTCCATATGTCTGCATACCGCTTCACAGACTTCGGTTACGATGCACTCACTGTTGTAAAGCCAACTCGAAAGCTATTTAGGCGATGAAGTAAAAAAAGGTGGAAGAATATCAGAGACACATTTGCAAAATATATAAAATCTACCAAACCAAAGACCGGCCAAGCAGTGGGCAATATAAAAAAATGGCAGTGGGCTGACTACATGGAATTTTTCCGTCCTTTTTTGGCATTTGCCAAAACGTCGTCTAATGTGAAAGATATTGACGTCATACATTATGAGACTGCCGAATTTAACTCAAATATATATCAGGAAAGGGCTGGAAATGTAGAAACAGAAAATTTGGAAGACCGCGGCCATGGAGAAGATGAAAATGCTGATGTAGATGCAGAAGATGCACAGAACGCCTCGGCAACACAGACAGCACCACCTTCTTCATTGAACACTACAGCAGTGACTACTCCAGGGCACACCTTTCTGCAGACTGCAACTACACCAAAAAATAAAACGAGCAGAAAACGCTATGAACCACCATCTTCGTCTGTACAACAGCTCATGAATTATTTTGAAGGTAAAAAACCTAAAAAAGAGAACGAGGCCATTGATTCACTTTTCTTGGCACATGCACAGACTGTGAAAACACTTCCCTTAAAGCGTCAAGCCCGAATAGAACTTAAAATAGCCGAATTAATAGCGCACGAAGAATTTGAACATATTGAAGAAATGTCTTCAGCGTCTACCCAGAATTCTGCAAGTATGTATGATAGTAGTATGTCGTCCTTCCCAAGCGGCACTGGGTTTACTCCAATAATATACCCAACAGAGGAGGCAAATTCTGCCTCGAATTATTTAGCAACATTTAATCCTAGTGGCAACATGTAGTCCAATTATTACAATAAAATATTTATTTCACGATCCCTGAAGTTTTCGTATTCGATAAGCCTACTAATTTTAATACATATAATTTTTTTACCTGAGTGTTATAGCAAGTCGATTTTCGTATTTCTTCTTTCACCAAGTTCAATATTTCATCGAAACACTCTGGAGTCATTCTAAAATATACGTAAAAGCGCTGTTCATCCAGCCGAAGTTGTGGTATCAAGGTATGGTATTCCCCAAATTTATTTCGTTCCAAGTTAATATCATGTACCCACTTCCTTCGTTTCCTAAACAAAATTGAAAATATTTGTTTTATGTACTTCGTTAAACTTAATACATACCCAACTATCAAATGGCGTTAAATAAACATAACTTACCGTGCATTTTGTTCCTCTTCTAAAGCAAGAAATAGAAGTGCCTCCTCTTCTTCTGAAGACGAGCTCATTGCAAAAGACAAAAATAAAATGTACGCAACCTGTCGAAACCTTCACGTTCGCGGAGCGAATAAGACGCTTTGGTATGAATAAACAGGCGAAACAGATTGCGAATTTCGCTCTGAATTTCGTTGCGAATACTTCGCCGCGATTATTTCGCGCCGGTTTGTGGGATGCTTTAAGAGATACGCTATAAAATAGAATGGTATGTTCTTGTTCTAACAAAATGTTGCTGTGAAGGAAACCCTCCAATCGACGCACTTTCTCCAATTTGGTCTTTCCCTTATTTCCTTTTCTCCTTCTTTCCGCCTGACTTTCCGAGAAAAATCGTGAAATCCTATAGAGGGTGATTAAAAAAAATGTGGCAATATGTCTAGGACATAAATTATATCAACAACTAAAATGTTCACGTAGTCATTTCCGAGTTATATAGGAATGTTGGTTTTTCTCTTGCTTCGTACGGTATTTACCATTAGGTAATCGCAGTTGGCCATGATGCCGCGACAGCATAATATCTGTGATAGTCCATCCAATTTCCGTCATGGCCAACTGAGATTGTCTTAAGCCTTATGGACCAGTAGAAAAAAACCATTAATTTGTAGACAATACGATACAAAATTAATCTTAATTTCAATGCTTAATAAATTCTTATTTTGATCAATATTTACTATTATTATTCTATTAACTTGAATCGGGGCACGTCCTGTTAAAGATCCATATATTTTTACAGGTCAATTATGAAGAAATGTAGCTTCCTTTTGAAAAAAAATATTTTTTGGGTTCTCTAAAATATTACATTCATTCTTTTCTTTTTGACAACTTTGTACTGTTTATATAAATCGACGCTACTACAAAAGCAAAAATAGGAGAAAAATGTATATATACAGGGTGGTCCATCCATGTGCGGATGGAATATTACTCATAAACGAATACATTTTGGGAAAATCTATTAATGGCATGTTACACATGACATTTAAGGGCACATAAAATATTGGCAATTATACAGGGTATCCCAATTTTGACCTACATATCAAAGTTGTGATTTTTTAAATAGAATGCCTCACATTTTATTTAATATAATATAATTATGATATAATTAGATGCTGAATGTAAGGTGTTTTGTCCAAAAAAACGTCCACTTCGGCAACCCCTCAATCCGCCATTTTGAAAGGAGTGCTGAAATTTGTATCAAAAAAAACTTACACACCTCAGCTTTTATTTTATTTGCATACGAGATATTTCCTTATCTTTCTTCAAGAAATAACTTTTTTGCCACAAAAAAAAACGCTCCAATAACTATTTTCAACAACAAAATGATAAACAAACCATGGGCGTAGTGAAGAATTTATTTTATTATTTACTATTATATTTATTAAGTAAAGTCTCACATTTTATTTAATATAATATAATTATAATATAATTAGATGCTGAATGTAAGGTATTTTGTCCAAAAAAACGTCCACTTCGGCAACCCCTCAATCCGCCATTTTGAAAGGAGTGCTGAAATTTGTATCAAAAAAAACTTACACACCGCAGCTTTTATTTTATATGCATACGAGATATTTCCTTATCTTTCTTCAAGAAATAACTTTTTTGCCACAAAAAATCGCTCCAATAACTATTTTCAACAACAAAATGATGAACAAACCATGGGCGTAGTGAAGAATTTATTTTATTATTTATTATTATATCTATCAAGTAAATTCTTTTAGTCAAATTTCTTCTGAAAGTAGTACAAACTAATCTGATGTACCCATTAAAGTCTACTTTAAGCTTTAAATCAATAAACCTTCAAAACTACTGAACTGAAGCTCATGTATTTTACATCATTATAAAGGGAATTGAAAGACCTTTAAAATAAGGTATCACTTGACCCCCCTTTCCATTTAAGATTTTAGGGTTGGTGTCACCCCCGCCCAGGGGGCTGCACGTGTTAACGCCAAACCTCGAAAACAAAATCGACGGGTCATGGCGTTTTTCCAAAAAAAAAACTGAGCTGCCAGTAAATGCGTCTGTTTCGTTTTCGATGCGCCACCCTGTATATATATATATACAGGGTGACTTCGAAGTTGAGTCATTTATTTTAACAGTGAGTAGATCTGATCAAAAGAAATGTTTTTTTCCTTTACCATTTTTCTCGTAAAATTAAAGTTACAAAGCTATAGCCCTTTGGAAGTTTGAGTACCGCCCTGTCTCAATAATAATATTATGTGCTCGTGTTTGGCAACAACGGATATAATCGGTTCATCGCATCGGAAACAAAAAAGCGAAAGAATTTGGAACGATGTTTTTACAATTATTTTATTCAGTTGTATACCTTCAGTGTCAGTCGGTAACGCGTGAGTGAATAGTGGTGTCTGTTGCGTGGCTCAAACGAAATCAAAAATGGCACATGTTTACGAAAATGCTGAACTTGTGGACATGATTCTTATTTACGCGGCATCACGGATTTATGCGGATCGGTTTCCCAATCGAGTGCAACCAACCCCTCGTGCCTTTGTTAATGTAGTACAAAGGGCTCGTGAATCAGGTGACTTAAGATCTCACAGGGGAGGGCATTCCGGTGCTCCAAGACCGCACGATCAAATACAGGTCCGCACTGAAATACTTGTCGGGAGGATACGTTATAAAACAAGGTAACATTTTTTTTTGATTTTTTTTTAATTTTACACACATATTTTGGTTTATCTTCTGCATAAAATTTAGTATATCTCAAGAATGGTTTAACAGGTATAGGTTGTCCATGAAATGTTTTTCTCTTATCTCCTAAAATCAAAAAAATTAATAGTATGCAGGATATTCCTTTTGGAATAGGCAAGTTTCAGTTCTACGTAGGACAAATTTTTTTTAGTGCTCCGTTTTTATCGCTGATTCAAATAAGATTAGAACTACAAGCACTTCCAATGGGCCTTCTGTCCTTGAACACCTCAAGCGACAGCAAAGGTTCCATGGACTGCTTTTGTCATGAAATAACAAATAAAGAGCGAAAAACTTTTTTCTGGGATTCCTAAATTGTCACTCATTTCAGGGATGCAGTTGTTTCGCATACAGCAGTTCTCTAAAACTACTTTTGTCTGGCAGCACTGACGGTACAGTCAGAATATGGAACCCAGTTATCGTTTCCAAAGCTACTGCTAGCATTCAAGGTCACGAAGTGGGAGTTGTTGACTTGCAAATTTTTGAAAACCAAAGGGTATTCCTATCCTTTGATAAGAATGCAGTGAGTAGATCCTTTACCTTGATCATCACGAATTTATAACGTATAACTAACAACTAAATATTCTTCAAGGTTTTAAAGGTATGGAACTTAGACGAACACAAATGCTTACAAGTCATAGAATTAAAATTCCCTTGTTTCCAAATTCTGGGCAAATCCATTGAGTTTGGAATAAGCTCGATATATCCAGGTCCCAAAAGAAACACCAAAGACTTTACGATCCAATACTTCGACAAGGGTGCGACTTGCTTCAGTTTGGACGATGTTGAGGAAATGTCAGAGGAACGTACCACATCAGATGGGTAAGAAATACCTTTTTTAGATATATCAATCCACTCTTGCTGGCGCTGGGCTATTCAACTATTGTCCGCCATTAATTATAATTTTTAATAAATAAAACAGATTTCAAAATTATGTGTAATTCTTATCAGTTATTTTTCAGTGTTGCAAGTTTCCATCCAGAGTTAAAGAACCATTTTGCTTGTCCACCTTTTCGACGTTGCGCTTTCATCATTTTTAAGAAATGTATTTATACTAAGTGACATATAAATCCGAACACCCAGTTTAAATGGTTTTATTTTAATAAAATTTTGTATAAGTACTTAATGAAGCATAATAAGTAAATGATAAAAATTTCAAAATGATTGCACCGCTTTAAAGCCCTTTGACCTTTAATAATGTGTGGATGCACCCTGATGTGCTACGCATTCTCCAACGCGCCTAGGCATGCTTCTGATCAGGTGGTCAATGTCCTCCTGTGGTATCTCATTCCAGGCAACCACCAACTCCTCTCGAAGTGCTTCTAGAGTCTGAGGAGGACGTTGCAAATTGAGCAATCTCCTACCCATATCCCACACGTGCTCAATTGGGGATAAGTCGGGAGATCTTGGTGGCCATGGCAACAATGTGACATCATTATGTTGAAGGAAGTCTATTGTGACTCTTGCAACATGTGGTCGGGCATTATCTTGTTGGAAAGTTGGATCTGCCAGGGTGTCAAGATAGGGTAAAAGATGGGGTTCTAGAACTTCGTGGATATAACGCTGCGCGTTCATGTTACCTCTGATGAAGATTAAAGGTGACCTGGAACCATAAGCTATAGCACCCCAAACCAATACTCCAACAGTGTGATGAACATGTCTTTCAACAAAAAACTGTGGATTCCTCCTTTCACCACGTCGCCTTCTAACCCTGGCACGACCATCGTGCATGCCTAAACAAAATCGAGACTCGTCACTAAAGGCAATACTGTTCCATTCCTGATCCCAGAGTGACCGTTGTCTGCACCACTCAAGGCGATTACGTCGGTGTTCTCGAGTTAAAGGGAGGACCCAGTGTGGCCGGTATGAAAACAAGCCAAAACTTCTCATTCGTCGGTAAACACTTCGCATGCCAATAGGTCTTCCGTGTTCTGCAAACCATTCATTTGCAATGGACCTGGTAGTGGAAAAACGGTCCCTTAAGGCCAATAATCTTAGGCGGCGATCTTCATGGTCTGTTGTTCTACGGCGGCGTCCAGTGCCCCTTGCTCTTTGCGTATGGCCTTCTCGAAGCCATGCCTGACAACACCTAACCACAGTGTCTACACTCCTTTGCACTCTAACTGCAATTGCCCGAAAAGAAAGTCCAGCTTCCCGAAGTCCCACTATACGGCCCCTATCAAACTCACTAAGTTGACGAAATCGTACAGGTCTCCGTACTCTAGGCATCGTAACCGATCGTAAAGGATGTCAAGAACCAAAATCCGCACGTTGATTCTTTACTGCGGCTGAAATATTCATTTTTAGAGCGTTAGTGAATTAAAAAAAAGCAGTATAAAAACCGGAATGTTCAACTGATAAGGCTGAAAATTTTTTCACTTGTTATTTGCAGTAAGATAAATACATTCACCAACTTTTATTAAAATAAAACCATTTAAACTGGGTGTTCGGATTTATATGTCACTTAGTATACAGGGTTATCCAAATTAAGTGTCCACCATTGGTAACTTTGTTATTAGTAAAAATACAAAGTTGTTTAAATTAGCAAACTAGTAGCATTTTTAACGCTGGTAAAAATGAGAAATAAAAAAAACAATTGAGAGTCGTTATTTTGATTTTTTTCAGTAAAATAACATTTTTTTAAATGGAAACCCCTGTATATTATATTTTTTTCTGTTAAAGCATCAAATTTTAAACAAAAAAGTTCATAATGACTTTTCCGCTAAAGTCAAAAATAAAGTCAAAATAACGATAAATATTTTTAATTATTTGCAGTATTATAATATTAAGACGGCTATGAAAACAACATGGCGTTCGCGATTTGACAGCATTAAGATAAGCGACAAATTGTTAAACTGGACATACTCGCAACTAGAAGGCTGTGGAAAACAATGATAAAATCAAATAATGTCAAACATTAGTGTAAATACTTGTTTATAAGCTTTATTGTGTCATTAATTTAAAGAAAAATGTTCTCCCATGAAGAAAAGTGTGATATGTTAGAATGCTATTTAGTGTGCAGAAAATCCTCCTTGAGAGCAAGAGAATACTACAGTGAATTATATCCCGCTCGCATTCAACCGTATGAACGATATTTTCTGAGACTTTATCGAAAATTTAGGGGCAACGAAAATGTTTTTGCTAAAACAAGGGCAAAAAAAGAATTCATAATAAGCGAGGCCACGGAAATTGCAGTTATTGGATATTTTGAAGCTTATCGTGAGAATTCAATAGCAGATATTCTCAAGGACTCTAATTTCAGTTATGGTACTGTTCAAAGGATTTTAAAAAAATACAAATTTATTCCGTATAAGTACCGACCAGTTCAAACGCTTTTGGCAGGGGATCCAGAGAGAAGACTTGTTTTTTGCCATTGGTATCTTAGCTTCTGTCGCCAAAATGTAAATAACTTTCGTTACCTTTTATGGACAGATGAATCAAATTTTTCAAATTCTGGAATGTTTAATAGAAAAAACCACCATTATTGGTCAAGAGAAAATCTTTTGTTAGTACATCCAAGAGGCCCACAAGTCCGTTTCAGTTTCAACGTTTGGTGCGGTATAATTGGTTCAAAAATTGTTGGCCCGTTCTTTTATGAGGGAACCCTAACTGGTGAAAGATATGTGGAATTTATGTCAAAAATTCTGACTAATTTCTTAGACGAATTGGATCTTATAAGTAGACATCATCTGCATTTTCAGCAAGATGGCGCACCTGCCCACAACTCCAGAGGTACTTATCATTTTCTAAGTACTACTTTTAATGATCAGTGGATAGGAACAAATGGCCCAATACAGTGGCCTCCCAGATCACCAGATCTAAACCCACTTGATTACTTCTTGTGGGGTTACTTAAAGAACCAAATTTACAAGCGAAGGTACGATAACCTTGACGCGTTAAAGACTGCAGTTAGGGAAAAGATAACCCAGATAGATGGTAGGACCATACTTAAGACAGTTCGAGCAGTTGAAAAACGTGCCCAAAAATGTATTGAAGAACAAGGTGGTGTTTTCGAGCATCTTCTTTAAAAAAAATTGTTATTGTATTTTGTAAGATTATAAGTTGATGTTGAAAATAAAGTTTGTCGATACAATTTAATTGTTTCAGATTGGAGGCCATAACTTCAACAATTTGTAACCTAGGAGAAAAGTTATTGTAAGCTTTTTTGTTTAAAATTTGATGCTTTAACAGAAAAAAATATAATATACGGGGGTTTCCATTTAAAAAAATGTTATTTTACTGAAAAAAACCAAAATAACGACTCTCAATTGTTTTTTTTTTATTTCTCATTTTTACCAGCGTTAAAAATGCTACTAGTTTGCTAATTCAAACAACTTTGTATTTTCACTAATAACAAAGTTACTAATGGTGGACACTTAATTTGGATAACCCTGTATATTCACCATTCTTTAGATATCGAGTACGATGAACTGGAAAGGGCAGGCAAGGTGAAATTAAAAACGTTCAAATAATAAGATTTTATATTTAATTCCAGAGTAAATACCAGCATATGGGAACGATCTCATATATTAGCGACATGCTGCAGCTATATTGCAAAGATTAACTTAATTTTTGAAGATGTTCACGTGGAATCTACATTTGAGTTACCCATATATCCTCCACCGCCATTGCAGAATAGCGTATTGGTACCATCTTCATGGAACATCCAAGATAAAAGAGATACCGTTTTTAACACCAGGTCAGTTACAAGCATCTTGAAGAATCAATCAACAGAAATGAAAAGATACGCTTGGGAAACATCCGGAAACTGCCCAAATTTATTTAGGTATTTTTAGATCTTAATGATTTTGCGTATGTTGTCTTATCTTTTGAGCGTCCAGAATGTCCAAGTTGCTTTAGGTATATGCAAAAACCATTATAAGTGTTACGGCAACAGTTCTGGTTGGGCGTACCGGTTTCTTTTTTTGAGAATTTTTTCGGACGCATCTGGTTCGTTAAAAGACCTACATATACTATCATGCTCGCTTGTCGTCTTGGAGGACTGAAACACTTTTTGAGAGCAAGAAAAAACAAACGATACGTCACTTGGAAGACAGATAATATACAGGGTGTCCGCAAAGTTGGGGTTTTCCTTTACACGACGTGTAGATCTTGAAAACATAAGCAATTCTTAGTATCATATACACCATCACCGAGTGGTACAAGGTCACTGGCTCAACCCGACGACAGAACTGGGTCGGGGTCAGTGTGTCAGGTCAGTATGCAACCTTCAACCGACGGTTACGGTCACGCGTGTAGAGGTAAACGAACCCGTATAATCGATTGCGTTTCAAAAAAAAATAATAATGGCACACTCATACACCAATAATGAACTCGTAGATATGTTGTTAATTTATGGCGAATGTCTTCAAAATGCTACAGAGGCTTCGCGAGTGTATGCAGATCGTTTCCCTAGACGACATCATCCAAGGCCCCGCAGATTTGTGTACCTGGTCCAGAGAGTCAGGGATACGGGCCATTTGGAGGAATTTCGAGGTGGGCACAGTGGGAGGCCTAGACAACCACGAATGGTGCAAGTTGAGGAAGAACTACTGAATCGCGTAGACGAGAATCCCTCAACAAGCACTAGAGACGTGTCTAGAGAAGTGCAAGTATCAAAAACTAAAGTGTGGCAAACGCTGCGTGAAGGTGGGCTGTATCCGTTTACGTCCAACGTGTACAAGCCCTTCAACCTGACGATTTTCCTGAAAGAGTGCGGTTTTGTGAGTGGTTGTTGCATCAACATGACAATAATCCGAACTTTTTAAAGTGCATATTGGTGACAGACGAATCTACGTTCACGCGTAATGGGGTGAATAACTTTCGCAACACTCATGTTTGGTCAGTAGAAAATCCGCACGCTGTCCGTCGGGCACATTTTCAACAAACATTTTCGGTGAATGTGTGGGCTGGCATGGTGAACGGTATGCTCATTGGACCATTTATTCTCCCAAATCGATTGGACGGGATGCAATACCTAGACTTTTGACGCAACATTTTGCCTTCCTTGTTAGAAGATGTGCCATTAAGTGTAAGACAATCAATGTGGTTTCTGCACGATGGTGCACCGCCCCATTTTAGACGCGAAATGCGTGAGTTTTTGAATGAATTATTTCCGAATAGGTGGATTGGACGTAATGGACCCGTAGCGTGGCCTCCGCGATCTCCAGACTTAACACCATGTGATTTTTTTCTTTGGGGAGAAATGAAACGCTTAGTGTACAAAACTGTGCATACGGTTGACGAACTTCGTCTCAGAATTGAACAAGTTGGTGCTTTCATTCGGGGGAGGGACTCCATTCTCAAAGCCTGCACCGATGCTTGGCTACGTCATGCACGCACCTGTGTTTTTGAATCAAACGGCGATAACTTCGAACAATACCTATAAAGTACGTTTACCTAAAAACTGAAAACGCGGCAACACCGTCATATTTGTTACCGCTGTTCGTGGTCTGCACCACCGCCTGCGTCTACTCGGTAGCGCATCAGCTGATTTCATTTTCTGTTGGAGCGGTATGATTTCGGGCAGAGACGTACTTAGCCCTTCTCGTCAACTGGAGAGTGAGTACTTTTTCCTTTATTTTTTTTTTGCTTGGTCGCCCTCGTTTCACTACACATTACCTTTGTCATTTCAAGGCTAGTTGTTTCTGAAAAGGACAACCCCAACATTGCGGACACCCTGTATTGTCAAAAAAGTGTCAATTATCCTAAAGGACCATTATAACATTTCAGTGAGGTAGATGAAGGAGATTTTGACATCGAGGACAAAATGAAGCAACTCGAATTTGTCTTGAACAAAGACTTTTTGACAATGTTTGGAACTAAAAGTGATATTAACAGCAAAATTGCAGTCTTAGAGAGTAAGAAGATGCAGGTATGTGTCATAAAAAAATGTACTGTACTGATGACAATGGAAAATCTTATTCGATTTTTGTTTTCAGATGAAAGGGGCAGTTGAACAAGGTGCCGCTTACCTAGCATTAGATCTCTACGACTTAGAGGAGCTAACGCTTTCGAAAGATCTACCAGTTCCTGATAGAGAGACCAAAAAATTGCTTGAAAGCACTGAACAGATAATAAAGGATGCAGTCTACAAGGATCAGGTGTTTTCTGACCTTTCATCTAGTAGATCTAAATCGTCAGATACATCTTTGGAAGCCGAATGTCAGGAAACACATTTTTTTACGGAGCTGTAAATTTTAGAGTCCAGGGTAAAATTAAAGGAAAAAATGTTTATTTAATCGCAAAATGAGAAGACGTTTGAATATTATGCATACATAAAACACCAATTCCCCAAATCCAAAATAGTGTGTTTCCGCTCTAATAGTAAATGTCAGCTTCTTTAAAGACTGTAATTTGTAATGTACGCGACTTATATTTTTTATATTTTTCTGATAACTATTAGGATTTTGATTGTACAAATTCAATAAATTAAGTAATAATATCAAGATGAGTGCCAGTTTGAAAATGTTCAAGGAAAAATTCAAAAAATATATCATGTAGAACCAAAATTCATAGTAGTGAAATTTTGTATAAAAAATATGTACTCTTTAAGATATAATATATTATGTGTTATACTGTAGCATTAATGCGGAATAAATCTGAAACAATCAAACAAACTTGGCCTATCCCCCGTTGCCGGTTTGACGTCGACGTCTGGACACCCTGTATATGTTACTCAAAATCCCAACTTTGAGGACATCCGTATTTTACTCTGGTATATCAGAAAAAAATGATATGTTTATTTGTTTAGTAATAACATGATATTGCATATATAATCAATGACAAATATATCAAGAAGGATATTCGATCTATCACTAGACCTAGCAAATACCACATTGACTGCAAATCTCCAGTCTTGTCAGACATCTTGCCATAGCTCAAAGGCATCTGCAAGAAATAAAATGTATCATCCAAAAATAGGAGGCTGATGTAACATTTGAAACGTATCCTATTCTTTTCATGTGATAAATTTCCACGTTTTTTGACCGATACATGAAACCACATATGCGGAATTCATTTTTTACTAACGTGTCGGTCACCTTGTACAAATGTGGTTCCATTTAACATCCAGAAAACATGTATATTTAATAAAATGAAATGATTATGATTGATTTCTGCACCTAAATGCAATTTTAAACTCACTTCAGTCTTCGGCAAGCAGAAATACGTGGACATCCAGTTAGATGTTAAGATTCTGCACAGTAGATGAGGCAAGGATGTGTGTTTGATATTTCTGCATAGGTTTATTACAACTGTAGAGATGACGATGGCAAATAGTAGCGCCAATAGAGTATAGCTGTATAAAGAAACTGCAAAAGGTAAAATCATTTAAGAATGTATGTCCAACCACTCGAAAGTCAAGTTCCTTCTTGACGTTGATTTTCCAAGTGAATCCTCAACCAGGAATCATTAGAATGGAGCATGAGTAGGGTGCTTTGGAGAAACAACTGCAAGTTCTAGCAGCAGTTCACATCGAAAATTCATATCCAACAACTTAGAAATCGATCTCCTTCTGGATATGGATCTTCGTAACTATATTCTCAGCTAGGAGACTTTGGAGAACATACCCAAAAATGGAGCATGGTTAGAGTGCTTTGGAGAACATTCAAAAATGTATATCCAACAACTTAGAAATGGATTTCTTTCTTGACATTGATCTTCGTAACTATATTCTCAATCAAAAGTCATTGGAGAACATACCCAAAAATAGAGCATAACTAGGATGCTTTGAGGAGACAACTGCCAGTCCTAACAGCAGAATCACAGTGATATTCGAAAATATATATCCAACAACTTAGAAATCGACTCCCTTCTTGACATTGATCTTCGTAACTATAATCTCAACAAGGAACATACCCAAAAATGGGTATGTTCCTTGTGGTGGTGCTTTGGAGAAACAACTGCAAGTGCTAACAGCAGTACTACAGTGATAACAATCGAAAATGCATATCCAACAACTTAGAAATCGATTTCTTTCTTGACATTGGTCTTCGTAGCTATAGTCTCAACAAGGAACATACCCAAAAATGGGTATGTTCCTTGTGGTGGTGCTTTGGAGAAACAACTACCAGTGCTAACAGCAGTACCACAGTGATATCAATCGAAAATTCATATTCAACAACTTAGAAATCGATTTCCTTCTGGACATTGATCTTGGTTACTAGAACCTCGACAAAGAACATACCCAAAAATAGAGCATAACTAGGGTGCTTTGAGGAGACAACTGCCAGTCCTAACAGCAGAATCACAGCGGTATTCGAAAATATATATCCAACAACTTAGAAATCGACTTCCTTCTTGACATTGATCTTCGTAACTATACTCAACAAGGAACATACCCAAAAATGGGTATGTTCCTTGTGGTGGTGCTTTGGAGAAACAACTACCAGTGCTAACAGCAGTACTACAGTAATATCAATCGAAAATTTATATCCAACAACTTAGAAATCGATTTCTTTCTTGACATTGGTCTTCGTAGCTATAGTCTCAACAAGGAACATACCCAAAAATGGGTATATTCCTTGTGGTGGTGCTTTGGAGAAACAACTGCAAGTGCTAACAGCAGTACCACAGTGACATCATTCGGAAATTTATATCCAACAACTTAGAAATCGATTTCCTTCTTGACATTGATCTTCGTTACTGTAATCTCGACAAGGAGCGTACCCAAAACTGGGAGATGACTAGGGTGCTTTGGAGAAACAACTGCGAGTGCTGACAGCAGTATCACAGTCATATCAATCGAAAATTCATATCCAACAACTTAGAAATCGACTTCCTTCTTGACATTGATCTTCGTTAATATAATCTCGACAAGGAACATACCCAAAAATGGAGCATGACTAGGGTGCTTAGGAGAAATAATTGCCAGTGCTAACAGCAATATCACAGTAACAATCATCTGAGCACAGCATACTGAGATCTTCATTTTTCCTAGGGGACTCATCCAAAACGAGGCAAGTACCGAAATCGCTATAACTGAAACGAAAAATATGTTTTGACACCTTGGCTTTTATGGTTATAGATTTGTACTTACACATAAATGGAGTGAAGAATATCGTGTTATATGCATTTGAGTTCCTTTGCAAGGTCAATACGATTTCAAATATCGGAACGTCGGCGGGCGAGTTTTGCAGACTGATACCTCCTTCAACAATCTTCCATTCTGAAGAATCGCGGTAGCTCTAACATGAAACACATAAAACATAATAATCATATTTATTTACTCCTAAACCAAAATAAATATGAAGCATTGCGTTTGTAAAGTGCAAACTCGACCTACTTCTTCAGAAGTTTTGACATTAATTATTCAACTAAGCTACATCATACCAAAGAGCTTTCATTCCTGTCAAATTCCAACCGAATATTGGGGTAGTCCCTAATGATTGCAATGACAGGGTTGCAACTATGTTTATCAGAAGGCCACATTCCCATGCCTTCTCCGTCACACCAAACTTTCATGTGGACGGGCGGGTTCCACTCTACTAGACCACTGGAATGGGCTACCATCATAGTGTTTTGAGTTATGTCCCTTACGACACCAATTGCACTGAAAACAATGAACATCAATTAGATTTAGATAAGAAGCACTATACAGTTCCTCAGGTCTTACTTACTACGGAAACAGTTTGTATCATACAATGGCTTCCAGTCTGAAGCATACTCAACTCCATCTGGTGTGCCTCAAGGGTCTAGCTTGGGGCCTTTGTTATTTTTGCTATCTATTTAGGATCTCTGCGAAAATTTCTTGTTTACAAATCTACACTTCAATTACCGAAATACAGGATTGTTCAATCTGCAGATGCAGTTGAATTATGTTAGAATTTGGTGTGAACGCAATAAATTACAGCTGTTTCGTGCTTCTTGCCAGCATGGAGTAGGCTTGGTCTCTTGTTTCTGAACAAGCGAAAGAAAGCATCACAACTATCCCTACAGGTACGCCAAACTCGACCACTGCATAAAACGCATAGCTGCTATTAGTTGAAACTGCTAAGGATCTCAGTTCACGTTTAATACCCCAGTCCCCACGTGACCTCTAGTTGGCTGACGATTCTGGCTATACGGTTTAGTTTGTTCAGTGGCAAGTAGGTCACATCTACTTTACAACCAGGATCTAGCGGTCACGTGGTGTCTATTGTTTGGTCTTCTATTATCATTATAATTATCATTTTAACTGTATATTGCACTTCCCAGAGGAAGGAATAAGCTTGACCAGAGCTCTGCCCGAGTTCTAAGGTGTTTATTCGGAAGTTATTTTATGTTGTTGCCCCCATGACCACGGGCACCGTTCTTGTCTTTGTCTTCCACATGCGCGATATTTAATATTATTATTATTATCTATGTGCGTAGCACACAACGTCGAGCAGTAATAAGTCAGAAGACGTAAGGATCTCTCTGTCGACTTCTTCGTATGGGATGAGGATGCAAATCAACTTGTCAGACCATCGGTGATCGTCAACTTCTCACGTGCTTTCGCACAATGTTTTGAGTTTTTCTAAAGACCATACCCACTTGTTTGGTTCCCGTTCGCCTCCAGAACGAGACCTTTACCATACAGATGAGTTGCTAATCAGCACAAAACAACGCTGTCTGCGGCTGGTCATGGTAACAGAGGCAAAAGGTCAACATGTTATGTTACTAATTGTGATTTATAAAGAAGATATTTGAAACCTACTTAAGCAATACTAAATCAGGTTGCCAAATTTCTCTTCTGAATATATGAAGTGTGTCTAGCTCCCCATAGTCTGCTGGATCCCATCTCAGTTTCTCGTCATGCCAGACCTTAAACATTTTACAAAGACATAGCGATTGAGAAATAAAATAATATTTGAGCATTCAACGTAACATTTGACATTTATTCTGTGCTTGTGTAGCTGATTAATTTCCATCTTTTGTTGTCCGCCAAATGTAGGATTAAAGTTACGCTAACGTGGTCTGAAAAATGCTATCGAGGCTTTCGAAACGTTAGTAAACTTTCAATCCGACATCTGAGGTTTGATCTGGTGGCAAAATATCAGGATCAGAATATTTCTCAGAAGGGGTAGAATAGGAAAATGAAAAAGATTCGTTTATGTTTGCAAAAGCTCTTACCAACTTCGTTGTGCCATACAGTTCCAGACTACCCTGGTGTTCATCCTAGAGATCAAATGAATGTGTTAAGATAGTTTAATATATACTAAGTGACATATAAATCCGAACACCCAGTTTAAATGGTTTTATTTTAATAAAAGTTGGTGAATGTATTTATCTTACTGTAAATAACAAGTGAAAGAATTTTCAGCCTTATCAGTTAGACATTCCGGTTTTTATACTGCTTTTTTTTAATTCACTAAAAATGAATATTTCAGCCGCAGTAAAGAATCAACGTTGGCGGATTTTGGTTCTTGACATCCTTTACGATCGATTACGATGCCTAGAGTACGGAGACCTGTACGATTTCGTCAACTTAGTGAGTTTGATAGGGGCCGTATAGTGGGACTTCGGGAAGCTGGACTTTCTTTTCGGGCAATTGCAGTTAGAGTGCAAAGAAGTGTAGACACTGTGGTTAGGTGTTGTCAAGCATGGCTTCGAGAAGGCCGTACGCAAAGAGCAAGGGGCACTGGACGCCGCCGTAGAACAACAGACCGTGAAGATCGCCACAAAAGATTATTGGCCTTAAGGGACCGTTTCTACACTACCAGGTCCATTGCAAATGAATGGTTTGCAGAACACGGAAGACCTATTGGCATGCGAAGTGTTTACCGACGAATGAGAAGTTTTGGCTTGTTTTCATACCGGCCACACTGGGTCCTCCCTTTAACTCGAGAACACCGATGTAATCGCCTTGAGTGGTGCAGACAACGGTCACTCTGGGATCAGGAATGGAACAGTATTGTCTTTAGTGACGAGTCTCGATTTTGTTTAGGCATGCACGATGGTCGTGCCAGGGTTAGAAGGCGACGTGGTGAAAGGAGGAATCCACAGTTTTTTGTTGAAAGACATGTTCATCACACTGTTGGAGTTATGGTTTAGGGTGCTATAGCTTATGGTTCCAGGTCACCTTTAATCTTCATCAGAGGTAACATGAACGCGCAGCGTTATATCCACGAAGTCCTAGAACCCCATCTTTTACCCTATCTTGACACCCTGGCAGATCCAACTTTCCAACAAGATAATGCCCGACCACATGTTGCAAGAGTCACAATAGACTTCTTTCAACATAATTATGTCACATTGTTACCATGGCCATCAAGATCTCCCGACTTATCCCCAATTGAGCACGTGTGCGATATGATGGGTAGGAGATTGCTCAATTTGCAACGTCCTCCTCAGACTCTAGAAGCACTTCGAGAGGAGTTGGTGGTTGCCTGGAATGAGATACCACAGGACGACATTGACCACCTGATCAGAAGCATGCTTAGGCGCGTTGGAGAATGCGTTGCACATCAGGGTGCATCCACACATTATTAAAGGTCAAAGGGCTTTAAAGCAGTGCAATCATTTTGAAATTTTTATCATTTACTTATTATGCTTCATCAAGTACTTATACAAAATGTTATTAAAATAAAACCATTTAAACTGGGTGTTCGGATTTATATGTCACTTAGTATAAATGCCTCATAACACGTGTTTTAAATCTCATTCACTGTTCAGTTTCAGGCATCATTCAAATACCCTCTTTTGTGATCTACAGGGTGTTCTAATTAAACATTTTTATTTATTTTATATCCCATGTGAAACAAAACTGAAAATTTCAAGTTTCTTTCACTTTTTTTTACAAAATAGTGCAAAAATTTGGCTTAAGATTTTGGGAAACCAACATTCCCTGGTCGGATTTAGTTTTTTATTTCCCTATATTTTATTAGGTGCAAGGTCCTGAAAGTTATGCTCTTAATTTATTACAATTTCTCAGATCAAAGAGCAATGTATAACAAAAATAAAAAAAAATATTGATATACCCTTATATAGCTTTTCGGTAATTCAAGAATATGGTGAAAATGTAGAGAAAACTTAATATACAGTTCCTGATTTTGCATTTTTAGCATAGTTACGTTTCGGCGAGCCTACCACAAGTAAGGTTCAGTTACATGGTACGTCACACAATTAAATGTCAAGTCTGAACCTGCATACTACGTCTTTGTGTATTTTTAACTTAATTTTAAGTTTGTCTAAACAATTTAATTAAGCGGAATTGCATATTAAATGCTGTTTCCATTTTACGCAGAATTCATGCTGTTGTACAATATCGGTTGATACTATTAAGTCATTAGAAAAACACCGAAAAAGTCAATAGAGTGCATAACATTCGTTTTCATTATTATTTATATCATATTTGCTCTTTTTACACCTTTTTTAACTTACAGGACATTGCACTTAATAAAATACAATGAAATAAAAGAACTGAATCCAACCCTGGAACATTTAGTTCAATTTTAAGCATTATTCTATAAAATTCTATAAAACCAAGCTGATAAGTCTTGAAATTCTGAGTTTTGTGTCACATAAACTACATAAGCTGCGGAAAATAATATTTGAATAAATAAAGCCATACCGACTTGTATCTAAAGCAGACACCATGTGTGCAAGTTTTAAGTGATGGTAATAAATATATGTTAAAATTATCTAAAAGGCGTCAATAGATCGCCTCTAGTGATACGTATCAGTTTGTAAAATATACTTTTCGTTAAAATATCAGTCAAAAAGATTAAAAGTAATACGAACCAATGATACGTGGTTGATTTGTAGTGTAATAGCGACTGTGGTAATAGTTGATGTATTTTCAACTGGTCTTACGTAGGGATCGTAATAAAACAACAGATCTCTTCTCAGTTTTTCAGTAAATGTCAGCGACTCTTCCACCTAGAAAAGTGAATAATTCATTTATTGATTCCCAGTCGTACAGTTTGCAATTCGTCTGATTTCCAAAGTTCTAGAGTTCTCCAGGTTCAAACTATCTATTTTCAGAAGAATTGTGCAAAATAAACAGTTGACGTATCGGGCATTTCTGGGTTATTCCACAACCCAAATTCATGAGATCCTTTATGGAATCGAGAAAGAGGTAGCTTCGGCAGATACAGACCAAAATCGGCAGATCTACCTATCGGTTATCAGCATGACATGTCGGACATTTTTTGATTAGTACACCACCCAAATATTTGAGATCCATTTTGGAATAGAGAAAAAGGTAGTTTTGGCACGTCAAGACCAAAATCGGCAGATCTACCTGTTATCAGTAGCATTGTGCAAAATAAACACTTGACGTGTCGGGCATTTTTGGGTTACTCCACAACCCAAATTTATGAGATTCTTTTTCGAATCGAGAAAGAGGTGGTCTTGGAGGTTCAAGACCAAAATCGGCAGATCTACCTATCGGTTATCAGTAAAACTATGCAAGATATACAAATGACATGTCGGGCATTTGTTGATTATTTCACCACCCAAATATATGAGATCCTTTTTGGAATGGAAAAAAAGGTAGTTTTGGCACGTCAAGACCAAAATCAGCAGATCTACCTGTTATCAGTAGCATTGTGCAAAATAAACACTTGATATGTCGGGTATTTGTGAGGTACTCTACAACCCAAATTTATGAGATCCTTTTTGGAATCGAGAAAGAGGTAGTCTTGGAGGGTCAAGACCAAAATCGGTAGATCTACCTATCGGTTATCAGTAAAACTGTGCAAGATATACAAATGACATGTCGGGCATTTGTTGATTATTTCACCGTTCAAATATATGAGATCCTTTTTGGAATAGAGAAAAAGGTAGTTTTGCACGTCAGGACCAAAATCGGCAGATCTACCTGTTATCAGTAACACTATGCAAAATACACAGTTGACATTTCGGGTATTTTTAGGTTATTTCACAACCCAAATTTATGAGATCATTTTTAGGATCGAGAAAGCGGTAGTTTCGGCAGGTCAAGACCAAAATCGGCAGATCTACCTGTTATCAGTAGCATTGTGCAAAATAAACACTTGACGTGTCGGGCATTTTTGGGTTACTCCACAACCCAAATTTATAAGATTCTTTTTCGAATCGAGAAAGAGGTGGTCTTGGAGGTCAAGACCAAAATCGGCAGATCTACCTATCGGTTATCAGAAAACTGTGCAAGATATACAAATGACATGTCGGGCATTTGTTGATTATTTCACCACCCAAATATATGAGATCATTTTTGGAATAGAGAAAAAGGTAGTTTTGGCTCGTCAAGACCAAAATCGGCAGATCTACCTGTTATCAGTAGCATTGTGCAAAATAAACACTTGACGTGTCGGGCATTTTTGGAGTACTCTACAACCCAAATTTATGAGATCCTTTTTGGAATCGAGAAAGAGGTAGTTTTGGAGGATCAAGACCAAAATCGGCAGATCTACCTATCGGTTATCAGTAAAACTGTGCAAGATATACAAATGACATGTCGGGCATTTGTTGATTATTTCACCGTTCAAATATATGAGATCCTTTTTGGAATCGAGAAAAAGGTAGTTTTGGCACGTCAAGACCAAAATCGGCAGATCTACCTGTTATCAGTAGCATTGCGCAAAATAAACACTTGACGTGTCGGGCATTTTTGGGTTACTTCACAACCCAAATTTATGAGATCCTTTTTGGAATCGAGAAAGAGGTAGTCTTGGAGGGTCAAGACCAAAATCGGCAGATCTACCTATCGGTTATCAGTAAAACTGTGCAAGATATACAAATGACATGTCGGGCATTTGTTGATTATTTCACCACCCAAATATATGAGATCCTTTTTGGATTAGAGAAAAAGGAAGTTTTGGCACGTCAGGACCAAAATCGGCAGATCTACCTGTTATCAGTAGCATTGTGCAAAATACACAGTTGACGTTTCGGGCATTTTTAGGTTATTCCACAACCCAAATTTATGAGATCATTTTTGGAATCGAGAAAGAGGTAGTTTCGGCAGGTCAAGACCAAAATCGGCAGATCTACCTGTTATCAGTAGCATTGCGCAAAATAAACACTTGACGTGTCGGGCATTTTTGGAGTACTCTACAACCCAAATTTATGAGATCCTTTTTGGAATCGAGAAAGAGGTAGTTTTGGAGGATCAAGACCAAAATCGGCAGATCTACCTATCGGTTATCAGTAAAACTGTGCAAGATATACAAATGACATGTCGGGCATTTGTTGATTATTTCACCACCCAAATATATGAGATCCTTTTTGGAATAGAGAAAAAGGTAGTTTTGGCACGTCAGGACCAAAATCGGCAGATCTACCGAAAAATCGGTAGGCCTGCCGACAATCTGTTGTCGGTAGAACTGAACAAAATAAACAGTTCACGTGTCGGGCATTTTTCGATAATTTCACCACCCAAATATATGAGATCCTTTTTGGAATAGAGAAAAAGGTAGTTTTGGCACGTCAAGACCAAAATCGGCAGATCTACCTGTTATCAGTAGCATTGTGCAAAATAAACACTTGACGTATCGGGCATTTTTGGGGTACTCTACAACCCAAATTTATGAGATCCTTTTTGGAATCGAGAAAGAGGTAGTCTTGGAGGGTCAAGACCAAAATCGGCAGATCTACCCACAATCTGTTATCAGAAGAATTGCGAAAAATAAACAGTTGACATATCGGACATTTTTTGATTATTTCGCCACCCAAATGTATGATATCCTTTTTGGAATAGAGAAAGAGGTAGCTTTGGAACGTCAAGACCAAAATCGGCAGATCTACCGGTTATCAGTAGCATTGTGCAAAATACACAGTTGACGTTTCGGGCATTTTTGGGTTATTCCACAACCCAAATTTATGAGATCATTTTTAGAATCGAGAAAGAGGTAGTTTCGGCAGGACAAGACCAAAATCGGCAGATCTACCGAAAAATCGGTAGGCCTACCGACAATCTGTTGTCGGTAGAACTGTACAAAATAAACAGTTCACGTGTCGGGCATTTCTAGATAATTTCACAGCCCAAATTTTTGAGATCCTATTTGGAATTGAGAAAAATGTACTTTCGGCAGGTCAAGACCAAAATCGGCAGATCTACCTACAGAAGAGTTACGTAAAATAAACAGTTGACATGTCGGGCATTTTTTGATTATATCTCAGCCCAAATTATGAGATCTTTTTTGGAATCGAAAAAGCTGTAATTTCGGCAGGTCAAGACCAAAATCGTCAGATCTGCCGATTTTTCGTTAGATCTTGGAGAATCTGTTGTCGGTAGAATTGTGCAAAATAATCAGTTCACGTGTCGTGCATTTTTGTGTTATTCCTCAAGCCAAATTTATGAGATCCTTTTTAGGATAGAGAAGGAGGTAGTGTCGGCAGGTCAAGACCAAAATCAGCAGATCTACCGAAAAATCTGTAGACTTACACTGATGAACTTGACTGTTACCTTTTCGATTTGTTTCCACTTGCAGTTGAAAAACCATTTAGCTTCTATGCCAGACCAAGTACTGAAACTTATATATTTCAAAGGCAATGGATCGGGATCAGTCCAAGAAATGAAGGGTAGCTCTTCACCTTCTTGGCCAACATCTATCACACCATCTAAAAGAAACATTGTTATCAACAAATTTTAGGTGACAGATCAACATAGTATATTTACGTATGAACATAGATGTAGTTATGAAATAACGGTACCTTTAGTAATATGTATCCAGAAGAATTTAGGATCCAACGCAGAGAGTAGATCTTTGACTCTCACTGATGCCTGTAATAAGAACAAAGATACAGGAAACCTGGATATTGGAGAACCAGTTTGTGTTCCATGAAAGGTATCTATCATCAGCTGTCCTATATCTAAAAACGGCTATAAAACCAATATTGAAAATTATAGGACTGTATGCATTCTTTGCAAAAGCTTTGAGATTACCCGTTACATCTTTTAGGAATTACATTTCAACGAGCCAACATGGTTTCATAGATAAGAGATCTTCAATCCCCAATCTATTTATTATTGTACAATTTATTTTAGAAGACTTGGACGAACAAGGACATGTAGATGTTATTTACCCTGGTTTCTCGAATGTTTTTGACAAAGTTTCCCACAAAAAAGCTTTCTAGCTATTCTGTTTCTGATAAACTTGTAGGTCTTTTCAAATCATACCTGTCTGATAGGTTTCCATTTGTTTCATATCATGGATATTAGTCAACCCCCATTTTAATTACGTCTGGTGTTCCGCAAGGTTCCAACTTGGGTCCTTTACTATTTACTGTGTATATTCATGATGATGAAGGTTTTGTGTTTTTTCGGACGATGTCAGAATTTTTTCAAGAATTGTTAGTGAGGTCGAAGATTGCCACTTAGTTCAGAACAACTGGTGCAATGAGAATAAACTTTGTCTCAATGCCAAAAAATGTAAAGTCGTCTCATATAGTAGAAGAAACACTGATATTAATTCCAACTATGTAGACAATAATGGCGAGATTCGAAGAGCACTTTCAAACATCTAGAGATATTTTTTTATTCTAAGTTAACGTTTGTAAAATATGTTGAGAAAGAATTTTCTGAGGATTCGAATTGTTATGGGTTTGTTGTGTGTAACTGTAAAAGCTTTTCAAATATTGATGTTACTGAACTTTTCTTCAATTCTCCTTTATATCCGTTATATGATTGCTAGATCATTGCAATAGAAAGGGTTCAACGTAAAGCATTAAAGTATATGGCTTTCAGAGCAGATGGCACTTATCCTGAAAGATATATCTGATAACCGGCTATAGTATACTAAGTGACATATAAATCCGAACACCCAGTTTAAATGGTTTTATTTTAATAAAATTTTGTATAAGTACTTAATGAAGCATAATAAGTAAATGACAAAAATTTCAAAATGATTGCACTGCTTTAAAGCCCTTTGACCTTTAATAATGTGTGGATGTACCCTGATGTACTACGCATTCTCCTACGCGCCTAGGCATGCTTCTGATCAGGTGGTCAATGTCCTCCTGTGGTATCTCATTCCAGGCAACCACCAACTCCTCTCGAAGTGCTTCTAGAGTCTGAGGAGGACGTTGCAAATTGAGCAATCTCCTACCCATCATATCCCACACGTGCTCAATTGGGGATAAGTCGGGAGATCTTGGTGGCCATGGTAACAATGTGACATCATTATGTTGAAAGAAGTCTATTGTGACTCTTGCAACATGTGGTCGGGCATTATCTTGTTGGAAAGTTGGATCTGCCAGGGTGTCAAGATAGGGTAAAAGATGGGGTTCTAGAACTTCGTGGGTATAACGCTGCGCGTTCATGTTACCTCTGATGAAGATTTAAGGTGACCTGGAACCATAAGCTATAGCACTCCAAACCATAACTCCAACAGTGTGATGAACATGTCTTTCAACAAAAAACTGTGGATTCCTCCTTTCACCACGTCGCCTTCTAACCCTGGCACGACCATCGTGCATGCCTAAACAATATCGAGACTGGTCACTAAAGACAATACTGTTCCATTCCTGATCCCAGAGTAACCGTTGTCTGCACCACTCAAGGCGATGACGTCGGTGTTCTCGAGTTAAAGGGAGGACCCAGTGTGGCCGGTATGAAAACAAGCCAAAACTTCTCATTCGTCGGTAAACACTTCGCATGCCAATAGGTCTTCCGTGTTCTGCAAACCAGTCATTTGCAATGGACCTGGTAGTGGAGAAACGGTCCCTTAAGGCCAATAATCTTAGGCGGCGATCTTCACGGTCTGTTGTTCTACGGCGGCGTCCAGTGCCCCTTGCTCTTTGCGTACGGCCTTCTCGAAGCCATGCCTGACAACACCTAACCACAGTGTCTACACTTCTTTGCACTCTAACTGCAATTGCCCGAAAAGAAAGTCCAGCTTCCCGAAATCCCACTATACGGCCCCTATCAAACTCACTAAGTTGACGAAATCGTACAGGTCTCCGTACTCTAGGCATCGTAACCGATCGTAGAGGATGTCAAGAACCAAAATCCGCCAACGTTGATTCTTTACTGCGGCTGAAATATTCATTTTTAGAGCGTTAGTGAATTAAAAAAAAAGCAGTATAAAAACCGGAATGTCCAACTGATAAGGCTGAAAATTTTTTCACTTGTTATTTACAGTAAGATAAACACATTCACCAACTTTTATTAAAATAAAACCATTTAAACTGGGTGTTCGGATTTATATGTCACTTAGTATATTTCCAAAACATAATGTACTGTAAAAACCTGTGACAAAAAACAATGCTTTCTACCTTGACATCGGACTTTTGCTTCCTCCGGATGTCGCAAAAAGTATTCCCTCCGGCTCCGATAACAATCTCGTACACAGAATCTTCCTTGGAGACCGGATCAGAAGGAGATAGTAGAATATGGGCATCGCTGGGAGCCAGAACCGCGAAATGAAAGTCGAGGGCAAGAGTTTCGTTGCCTTCCACGAGGTTGTCAGCAAGATCGTAGAAAGTCTTGTAGACGCTACCGCTTTGCGAATAGTCGACTGTGCAGTGTGACAAATCTGAAAAACAATTCATCCCAAATAGAGTTGTTATTTCTGTACAATGTTATGGATGAATTCATTGTAACTCTACTAATTTATACATAATAATAATATTTATTCGCCAAAATACAAAAAATGGGCAAATAAATATGAAAAAACCACAGAAGGCATCGCCTGTGTGTGGTTTATATCTTAATAACTAACAATCAATCATATATGTGTATAACAATTAGTGTTAAATCTAAAAGGTATTAATGTAATTGGAATTTTGTAGTTTTAGTTTTCTATATAATTATGTATAGTCATTCGCTGCACATTACTAACCCAGTCTTTCAGTTTTCTTCTAATTTTTTTTCCAAAATTAAGTATCTTTATTTCGTTTGGTACTACATTATATAATTTAGCTGCTAAGAATTTAAATGATTTTTTGAACAATGTTTTGTGTGGTCTTTGGATATTAGATGAGCCTATTCGAAATCGTGTGTTATGCTCGTGTTTATAGGATTTTTTCTTTTTATTACAATACTTATGGTATAAGGTGGTGGCATGTAAGAAATAAAATTGTCTTGTATCAAGTATCCCTGTTTCTTGATATAAGTTGTTCGTTGGATATAATCTTGACCTATGGAAAATGGCTTTCAAAACAGTTTTTTGTGCTATATTCAGGTCAGAAATATATGTCTTGCAGGCGGCACCCCAGGCTGTTATGCCGTATATTATATGGGTTTCAACTAAGGCATGGCATAGGATTCGAAGATAACTTTCTGTAAGAATGTTAGCAAGCATTTTGAGTTTATAGGCAACATTTCTAATTTTTTTGATAACATATTTAATATGGTTATCCCACCTTAGATGTGAGTCTATAAATATTCCAAGTTATTTCAAAGTGTTAACTCTATCGATTTTGGTCTTTTGGCCATGATAATTTGTTCGAAGGTAGGTAAAAATTTTGAATAGGATGTAAATGCAATAAATCTTGTTTTTTTGAAGTTAACTGTAAAAATTTTAGTATCAAACCAGTCAATGATCCTTATAAAATCCTGTTCAGCTATTTGCTTCAGTGTGCTCCAGTCATCAGCTTTATATAATACGAGGGTGTCATCTGCAAAACATATAATCTTTCCAGAACTGTTAATTTTGAATAAGTCATTTAAGTAGAGACTAAATAATAGTGGGCCTAGTACTGTTCCTTGAGGCACACCACACTTGATGTACATTTTTTTACTGTAAGTGTTAGTGATTTTGACAGTCTGTGCCCGACTTGAAAGGTAATTTTTTAAAAGGATTTGTGACGCTCCCCTAAATCCCAATCTTTCCATAACTTTCAGAAGCTCGACATGGTTAACCGTATCAAAGGCATTTTTTAGATCAACAAAGATACCAATAGTAGGTATCTTTTTGTTGACATTAGAGTTAATTTCATCCATTGCAGCCAAAATTGCATCGGTAGTAGATTTTCCTTTTCTAAATCCATATTGGTCAGAACATATAATTTTGTTTTTGTCCAAAAATTGTAATGTCCTTTTTTGTAGCAATTTTTCGAAAATTTTGGTTATATTCGATAGTACTGATATGGGTCTATAATTTGATGTTTCCATTCTGTCACCGCTTTTATAAACAGGAGTAATAACAGTTGTTTTAAATGCATCAGGACAAATTCCAGATTGGAAACACCAATTAATGACGTAAGAAAGTGGTTCGGCTAAGTCGTAGGCTATTATTTTTAAATGGTCTGCTTTGATACCATCTACACCAGGACTTTTTTTGGTTTTAAGAGATAGGACAGCTTCTTGTACTTCAATCGGACTAACGCTTTCTAAAAAGAATGAATTGGGAAGTTGGGTTTTTGTGAACTTTTCGTTCGAAACCATTTTTTTTAATACTGGATGCTCAATTTTCTCCAACATTAGTGAAAAAATTTAAGAATGCATCAGATATTTGTCGTTTATCTGTTAATATTGTTCCATCACGATTCTTAATTTCATCAATATTTGGCTTTTCTTGAACGTCTTTGTTAGTTAAGTGATCGACAACTGACCACAGTTTTCTTGGATCAGATTTGGCATCTTGTAATTTTTTTAGATAGAATTGGCGTTTTGCTTCTCTAACTAGATTGATAAAAATATTTTTATATTCTTTATATCAGGTATCTGCACATGGCGATGCTTTCATTATTTTGTATAGTTCCTCTTTTTTGTTGGCAGACACAGATGTTGCTTGCAGGCGTCGATCCAGGATCACGACTTGGGGGGGGGGGTATTGTCAAGTCGTTTGCACTTGTTATGATGTTATTAAGAAGGGAAATAGTAAACAGCGGTGTAAGAACAGAATGCACATTTATTTTTTGTCAAGTTTTCGAACAAAAACAATCTTGTCTCTCCTTCATCCCCCTTTCCTTATTTTTTTTCGTGAATCCTTGGGGAGGCAATGACACCGTTGACCCCTCCCTGGATCCGCATATGGTTGCTTGAGGATATCCTAGGGGACGGTGACAAAAATTCGTGATCTGTGCTCTCCCGATTTTTTCAAGAAGCGAGATTTGATCAAAATTGCAGACGCACAAGAATTTTCAGTTTTCCCCAAAGTACGCCTTAAACATATAACTTTCTACGCGAATTTTTATAGCTTCGCACAATCTCATCATATGTTACAGGACCTCGCAGACTACCGTAGTAAGGCACTGTATGGGAATTCGTAAAGCATTGTGTTTGGCATAAGTTGCCGACTGTGACGCACGACCACCGCGACGACGCTTGTCCATCGCAGGACCACGTCGCACGTATCCACATCGAATGTAGGAGATATGTCTAAGGGTAAATGTACGGGGACAAATATGATGAGTGAAATATGCCTAAAATGTGCGTAGAAATTACAACCTGCAACCCCCAATTTGTAATAGGTCGTCTACACGGGCCATAGAAAATGCAGATTTTTGAAAACGTTGCCGGGTTATGTAGCCGGGCAGCATGGCCCAGCAACTGAATTTTGACATATTGCCAGGCCACATTCTGGACGAGCATGTCCGGACATCGTTCTGCAACATATGGCCATAGCAAATTTGCATTTACACTAGACAACATTCACACAAATAGTTGCTTTATCACCATGGATGATTATAGTGCTTATTGCGGCTGCAATTATTGTGTTAAAAAGATCAAATCAAAAACCGAACACTAAAAAAAGAAAAAAGTTGTGGGTTAGGCCTTATTTAAGTAAAAGGCTTACTTTACAAAATATAAGTGAAGAGTTATCTCTCGACAATTATTTATTCAAAAACTTTACGAGAATGGATAAAACTGATTTTGAATTCTTACTAAATCGAATTGGACCGAATATTCGAAAGCAGGATACCAACATGCGAACAGCGATATCAACTACGACAAGACTAGCTATAACACTAAGATACTTGGCAACTGGTGAGAGCTTCAAAAGTTTGATGTATTTATTTAGGGTGTCTGATTCAGCTATTTCACTGATAATCGCACTATATAGTATGCAAAGCACTGGTGATAGGATTAAAAGAATTTATTCAGGTGAGTTAATATTTTTATTTATATTACTTTATCAGAAACAAAAGATATGCTAACTTAATAAAAGACACTAGCTAGATAAATTCGCTAGTGTTTCTCATTTAGTTTCGTCTTGTGAGAGTTTCTGCAGATTGAAACAGGGGAGGATCTTCGCTGCAGTAAGATTCCACCAGTGTACGACAGTTGGAAGCAATCGAAATATGTTCGGTCGAGAAACTAAGTCGGAGTAATCTTGAGATTCTTCAGATTGGTCAACATCAGAATCTTGATGTACAGCCGGAGAAGAAAATTTATATGCAATACAGAAGTTAGGTTTATATCCTCCAGAAAAATTAGTGTTTTGTTTTATTTTTTTTTCCAATAAAAAACTTATAAACTATCTACACAATATGGTTTTTGTTTCATTTCGATATCTATAAAGATAAAAAAGTTATTGCCGATTAAAATGATATCGTTAAAAAACGCACTGTACCTCCATACAGGAATCGACAAGCTGTATATTATCATTAGCTATTTTTTTAACTGTTTTTAGATACCAACATCAGAAAGAGAGTGGCTTAATGTGGCTAAAGCATTCGTGGAAAGGTGGAACTTCCCACATTGTTTAGGTTCAATGGACGGAACACATATTGAAATTATTTGTCCTCCCAAAGCAAATATTATAATTACCTTCATTATTACAGTATTGTATTATTTGCTGTGGTAGATGCTCAGTACCGATTCTTATATGTTCACGTGGGATGCCAAGGACGGATATCTGATGGAGGCGTTTTTCTACATACTTCATTCGGAAAACGCTTAATGAACAAAACATTAAATTTACCCCAGCCAGAGAACCTCCGTCAGATACCAACTCAACAACCCTATGTTTTCGTTGCAAGCCGTACACCGTTGATTTGAACGTAGGCTCTGCTAAACGTGTATTTAATTATCGACTATCAAGGGCCAGGAGAATTGTCGAAAATGCATACGGTTTGTTGGCTTCAGTTTTTCGAGTTTTCCACAGAAAACTGGATTTAAAGTTAGACACTGTACAAAATATAGTGCTAGCCTGTGCTTATTTACACAACCTTTTACGCAGAAATACACTAAATCGATATTCGCCAACTGGAACTTTTGATATGGAAGATATTGATGCTGGTAGGATTATCCCAGGATCATGGCGAAACGATGGCAAGCAATTACCAAATTTGCAAAGAGTCGGTAGAAATGCAACAGCGATAGCAAAAGGAGTACGAGAAGAATTCATGAATTATTTTATGACTGACAGTGGAAGAGTGCCATGGCAAGACATGTACCTAAATGGACATCAACTTGTTTTTCCCCGATAAATATGTCACACTGTATATTAAACTGTAATAAATAGTATACAAATAATAATTATTGTATTTTGCATTTTACAAGATGACCTTTCAATGGTGCTTCAATTTTAAAGTCAACGTAAATACAGTAAAGGGAAATAACAGGTGTGTACCTTCAAATAAAACAACACAATTAACTGTCTCATATTTTCAGTGTCCATACCATCGTTTGGGGTAACACGTGCTAATATAAACTGCATTGCTTGAAAAGCGAACCAAATACTATCTTTACGATTAGCGCCACTTCCACTCTTCTTTGAAGACTTTTTAGCTTCGTTTTTAACGTAGGTCCTCAGGCTGCGAAACTTTTTGTAGGCTTCATCGCTTGATATTTCAAGTTCAGTAGCAATTGCATTCCAGCCATCTTTTTTCCGATTCCTATCTTTATACAAAACATTGTCAACATCCCACAATTCTGGACGTAAATGTATAGCGTTAATTAAATGTAAAGTCTTTTCGTTAGTCATTTTAAATTAAGAAAATTCACCACAAAACAACACTCGAATGACGCGCGGCTAAACAAGTGAAGCGAGACAAATACAAAGATGGCTGAGCCATGTTGCTGAAAATTCGCAAAGCAGTCGATCTCTCGGCCACTTGCCGGCCAGTGTTGTCGCACTAAAGAAATGCCAGGATATATTGCTCGGCCATTTTGCAATATTTTGGTTATATTGCCGAATGTGGCTGGCAAGTTGCGAGCCATCATCCGGCCATATGATGCCGCCTACAAAATGCCGAAAATTATGGCCCGTGTAGACAACCTATAACGGAGACGGAGTTAGAGCGATTTTTTTTGTTTTTGGATTTTTTTCTCCGCTGCTATTGCGCCGATTTCCAAAAACTGGCTTCTGCGTGCTTGGCATAGTACTAACGTTGTGTAAAAATGTCATCGAAATATCTACCTGTCAAGTTATCCTTGGGCTTGAAGACACTTCCGCTAACTCGCGTAATCCAAATCAAGACGCACAGACCAACGAATCCATTCATGGTTAAAAACAAAAGAACCGGGCATAAAAGGACTACTGAGAGAACCGAAAAGAACGTCAATCTAAAGCTCTCTCAGTCGCCGGCTTGGCTTCCTGTGGCCTTTTGTTATCTCTTGCAACCAGAAATGCCACAGATAGGACGTCGGATGGTGAAGACAGCGGCGCAACAACTTGATAAAAAGGATATACATGATGAACAAAATCAATTTTGGTGTTTCCAAAGCGATTAACATTGTTTTTGTTGCATATCGACTACGATAATACCCATCCTCGAGTACTGCTCACATATTTGGGGTGCTGCCGCAATGACTACATCGTCCATATTCGGTGCTATTCAAAGGAAGGATGTATGACCAATCTATGACATTTCTCTTGAGGCCCTTTCGTACTTTGTACTACTCTGTAAGAACTTTAGCATTCGTAACTGTTTGGAAATAAAACAAGGGAATTCGTCAAAACCGCGCTTTTCTTCCCGTGCTCAAAACCTTGAAAACAAGAGTGTTGTCACTTGTCATTCTGACGGTTCATTGTTAACTTTATGTGATGCCTCCAAAGCGTTTCTTATAATAAATACAATGGGCTCAAGTATGCCAGAGTAGAATTTTATCTGTCATCACTGTACGAGGGTGGTCCCAGAAGTACGCGGCCTGACCTAGAGATGGCGATAGTTGTTTGAAAAATATCATTGTATTAGAAAGTATGCAACCTATAAAGCATATGTGTCAAGTTTGAAGACGCCACGTTGTTTAGTATTTGTTTGGCAGCCATCAATACTGAACGTTTTCAGTGAATTTGTGAAAATGGCGAAGATTGGTCATCGTTATTTCAAAGGCCAACCAATATAAAAGCTGAACTGGATTCTGCTCTGGGTGAGTCTGCTCCTTCGTTTACAACAGTAAAATATTGGGTAGCAGAGTTTAAACGAGGCCGCATGAGCTGAATAGAGGAGCATCGCAGTGGTCGACCAAACGAGATGACGACTCCAGAAATGGTGAAGAAAATTCACAAAGCGGTACTGAATGATCGTCGACTGAAAGTGCGCGAGCTAGCAGACATAGTAGGCATTTCAACAAGTGCGGTTCATCGCATATTATCTGAAAAGTTGGACGTGAGAAACCTGTGTGCAAGATGGGTGCCACGATTGCTCACAATCGAGCCAAAATAGTGTCGTGAAGATGTTTCAATTGAGTGTTTAGCGAAGTTTCACATCAACAAAGCAGAATTTTTGCGTCGTTTCATAACCATGGATGAAACATGGGTCCATCACTTCACACCCGACACAAAACAACAATCAAAACAATGGACTCAAAAGGGACAACCGGCTCCAAAGAAGACGAAGACCGTTTCATCGGCAGACAAGGGCAGGTTTTTTGGGATGCGCGTGGGATAATTTTCATTGACTATCTTGAAAAAGGTAAAACTATCAACGGCGAGTATTGCAACGTTTGAGCGATGAAATCAAGCAAAAACGGCAGCATTTGGTTAAGAAAAAAGTGTTGTTTCATCAAGACAATGCACCAGTTCACAAATCCGTTATTACAATGGCCAAAAATAACGAATTAAAGTTCGAATTGCTACCTCATGCACCCTATTCACCAGATTTAGCCCCCTCGGATTATTTTCTATTTCCAAATTTAAAAAAATGGCTCAGTGGTCCAAGATTTTCCAACGATGAAGAAAGGCTGTCGGAGTTATTGGCTATTTTGAGGAGCAAGACAATTCGTATTATAAAAAGGGTATCGAACCTATTGAACATCGCTGAGAAAACTGTATAGCGCTCAAAGGAGATTATGTTGAAAAATAAATACATTTTTTTACAAAATTTTTGTGTTTTCTTCGTTGGGTCGGATACTTCTGGGCCCCCCTCGTATATTGCCAAGTAATTTACAAACTCACTCCAGTATTACTTCGTATTAGGCAGTTTACCCTAATTTTTTCAGTCTTGTTAGATAGCACAGGTCGGCTACAAGGAATAAACTGAATCGTGATCGTGTGAACAGTCCACGACCCTCGTTAGGTGACGTTCCACTCCCGACCCCAGCCAAGAGTGACGAATGCAAAACTAAATGCATGCTAGGCTACCCAGTAAGACCGTATAACTCTGAGGAGCTACCTATACCCGACCAACGATGAAAAAGATCATTTCCGTTTTCCCTCATAAACAAAATGTTTATGTTACGACTCTGACTGGTGTTGTAGATTATTCTGTATGCATTAAGTTCAGAATATACTCTAAAATTATTCCATTTGTAGGAATTGTTCTTTAGCAGTAGGATTGCTCAGCGATATTCTTTTTGATTAAGGTGAATAGAAGGTTGAATTATACAAGGTTTAATAAAATTTTGTATAAGTACTTAATGAAGCATAATAAGTAAATGCTAAAAATTTCAAAATGATTGCACTGCTTTAAAGCCCTTTGACCTTTAATAATGTGTGGATGCACCCTGATGTGCTACGCATTCTCGAACGCGCCTAGGCATGCTTCTGATCAGGTGGTCAATGTCCTCCTGTGGTATCTCATTCCAGGCAACCACCAACTCCTCTCGAAGTGCTTCTAGAGTCTGAGGAGGACGTTGCAAATTGAGCAATCTCCTACCCATCATATCCCACACGTGCTCAATTGGGGATAAGTCGGGAGATCTTGGTGGCCATGGTAACAATGTGACATCATTATGTTGAAGGAAGTCTATTATGACTCTTGCAACATGTGGTCGGGCATTATCTTGTTGGAAAGTTGGATCTGCTAGGGTGTCAAGATAGGCTAAAAGATGGGGTTCTAGAACTTCGTGGATATAACGCTGCGCGTTCATGTTACCTCTGATGAAGATTAAAGGTGACCTGGAACCATAAGCTATAGCACCCCAAACCATAACTCCAACAGTGTGATAAACATGTCTTTCAACAATAAACTGTGGATTCCTCCTTTCACCACGTCGCCTTCTAACCCTGGCACGACCATCGTGCATGCCTAAACAAAATCGAGACTCGTCACTAAAGACAATACTGTTCCATTCCTGATCCCAGAGTGACCGTTGTCTGCACCACTCAAAGCGATTACGTCGGTGTTCCCGAGTTAAAGGGACGACCCAGTGTGGCCGGTATGAAAACAAGCCAAAACTTCTCATTCGTCGGTAAACACTTCGGACCTGGTAGTGGAGAAACGGTCCCTCAAGGCCAATAATCTTAGGCGGCGATCTTCACAGTCTGTTGTTCTACGGCGGCGTCCAGTGCCCCTTGCTCTTTGCGTACGGCCTTCTCGAAGCCATGCCTGACAACACCTAACCACAGTGTCTACACTTCTTTGCACTCTAACTGCAATTGCCCGAAAAGAAAGTCCAGCTTCTCGAAGTCCCACTATACGGCCCCTATCAAACTCACTAAGTTGACGAAATCGTACAGGTCTCCGTACTCTAGGCATCGTAACCGATCGTAAAGGATGTCAAGAACCAAAATCCGCCAACGTTGATTCTTTACTGCGGCTGAAATATTCATTTTTAGAGCGTTAGTGAATTAAAAAAAAGCAGTATAAAAACCGGAATGTCCAACTGATAAGGCTGAAATTTTTTTCACTTGTTATTTACAGTAAGATAAATACATTCACCAACTTTTATTAAAATAAAACCATTTAAACTGGGTGTTCGGATTTATATGTCACTTAGTATATTTTTGAGTAGTTTATGATTCCTTTTGGCTTTACAAATTTCGACTCTGCGATTTGACAAAGACCAAGTCCTTTTCTAGATACAACTTTGAAATGTCCGAGATGATGTATGTACGAAAAGTAAAACAGTAGCCCACACACCGAACCCTGAGGGATACTGACTTTTCTGGACCAAAACTTGTGTGCTGAAGTGTGAGTTCGTAGATGGGTTGCCGAACAGAAATAAATCAATATAATCGTATGTAAATATTTATTTCAAAGGCAGTGCGTCAAAAAAGCTAACAACAATAATGTAATAACAAAATTTGAAGAAAAAACAAGCATTAGTAATGTGATAGTAATATATACATTGTACAGTCAGTCGTTAGATCTCATATAACGTCATATATATTTACAAAAAAGAACACCAAGTGTTAATAACAAAGCACTTTTAGGTACAATAAAAGTATAAATGTGCTTAAAACATATCAGATTCGTTATTCTGGCAAGCATACTGACTTACCAAATTAAAATATATATAAAACAGGACCAGCAGAAACTTTCTGATCAATTTTTTAACAACAACAATTCTGATGCCGTAAACGACATTTTCTGTTTGTAAATTGCATTTCGCTATTTCTGAAGATGCTGTTTCAAATATACATACATAAGTACACCTAATGAAACTTTTACCCAATAACGCCTTACTGGAAAAGTTAAACATCAATATTTACAAAACATTAACAATATACATTGAAATTCAGTGAAAATACTGAACCGCGCACTAAAACTATGGCACTAAAGAAAGACTCCAGTAGCTAAAGCATCCAACTTTACTACAACCGGAGAATAGTTATTTTCAGGGTTTTTGGCGGTTACGTCATCAATGCAAAACGAAATAAAAAAAAGCAAATCGAGTAAGTGAACCAAGTGCAGAGCTGCACCTCCAAAAGAAAATTGCACACCGATCTTTAGCACAGCTTCTCTTGCACACATGAATTGGAGAAGAAAGGACTTTTTCTAAACATTCCAATAATTTTGGCCAGAACAGTAGATGTCTTATGGGGATTCGGTCTCAAAACTTCCAAAATCCGCCACCAGAGGCGCTGGCGTCGCGCGCCATTGACAGGTTGTTGGACGGAATCTGTAATCGAAATTCATGAGTTGGGGATTCCGCCGCTAGATGGCGCTGTCAAACCAAACGGAATCTGTGTGTCATTGGACACCTGTCATGCGTCATTGGGCATCTCACGCATAGATGGCGTTAAAACGTCATCTGTCATACGTCATTGGACACCTGTCATTGATGGGTTGAGCATCTCGCGCATAAATGGCGTAGATTTGTTTGGCGGTGTACAAACCTAACGGAATCTATGCGTCATTGGACAGCTGCCATTGATGGGTTGGGCATCTCGCGCATAGATGGCGCCGATGTCGCACCTGTCTGGTGTTGGCGTG